AGATTTCGCGAGATGCTTGCAGGGGGGGTCACGTCAAATTTAAAGTTTGTTCTCGCCATTTTTCGACGGTCCCGCGCGGCGAACTGGAGCCCTCCAGATTTCAGTCTCGCGTCTCCCAGGTGCATCTGCGGTCTCGTACTTTGCGGTCGTCTCTTGTGCCCGACGCGGGCTCGACGAGGAGTTGGCACGGACCCGAAGCGGATTCGACCCTGATTCCGACACGGATTCCGTCACGGATCCGACGTCCGACACGGTCTCGATGCGGACAGCGGTGTGATGGTGCGTGATGGGATGGGACAGAGGAAAGTCTGGGCTCGGCTACCAGCGGGTGAGACTCTGCATCGTTTCGCTTCCGCTTTCCTCCTGTCCTTTTCTACTCCTCCGCTTCCTCCGTGGCCGGTTTCTGGTTCTCCAGTTGCAGCATTATTATTGGATGTTCTTTGTTCCATGAAAGTAGACAGAGAGTCGTAGCTTTGTCATGGAGCACTGTCCGAGCGGTTCCCAGTGCAGTGCTCTGTCCCATGAAACGGGGACACACATTACCACCAGCTTGCAAGGCATAGCGTGTTGCAGGGTCCTCCGCCGCTTGATGTTGTTGTAACTTTTCTCCCGGCGGTGTATTAGTTCGATCCCCAGATTCCAGACATGCGATTGCTCCAATTCTTCACATGGAGCTGTGTCTTGATTTCCTATCACGCGGATGGTTTTGCATCCTTAGCATGCGCAAACTCAAGTATGCAAGATGGTTCCCCACCAGGGGCGTTGTTTCAAATCTCAATCGGAAGATTACGTTTAGTTCTTCGTTCGCAACTTGCCATGTCTACGTGATTGCCCTCGGACAGTTGGACGTTGCGCACCTCGCGTATCACGCATTGGAAGGCGGCGTTCACGATTGCGCCCAGGGAAGCGCTGAAGGATCAAGAATCGCGCTTTCGCCCTCTCCGGGAAATCTCTTGCATTCTCTCGGCGCCCACTCTGGGAGCCCTGGGGCCCTCTTCCATCTTTCTCGGGCCCCTCGTGGTATCCATGAGGGCGCGCTTCAGGCCATGCCGAGTGCTGCTGTTTTTTTTGTTTGAAACCCTTGCGCAGATGCTCCTAGTTAGCGCGTGGCCATCTTCGGCCATCGTGGAGCCATCCTTCTTGCATGTCTGATTCGCTGCTACAGGTGTGGCGTTGCTCTCTGAAACACTTTACACCGATGCAATCACGGCGTGGCATTTCCTCGTAACAGACGTCATGCGTGGTAACAAGGTATAACGGTGGCCCAAAATAGCTTCCAGTAGAACCCAACGGGCGCTCAAAGACAGCCAGCAACCCCAAACAACTTTCACGAGGTTCCGGGAAAGCCCCCCACGGTGGACAACACGCAATGACATTGAAAAGTGTTAGCATGGACGCGTTCGCAAATGACGAGTACAAATGAAGAGGAAACATGCGGGACAGGTGATGCATTACATACATGTGACAACGATGGCGCTTACGTAAACAAAAAAACCTTCGTCTGTTTGGCTCTCTCTCTCTCTCTTTCTCCCCCTTTCTCTCTCTCTCTCTTTTCTCTCCCTCTCTCTCTATATATATATACTTATCCCTCTCTCTTTCTTTCCCCCTCTCTTCATATTTTATATATATATATATATATAGAGAGAGAGAGAGAGAGAGATTCCTCTTTATGTTTCTCTCTCACTCTCTCGTTCTCTTCCGCGCCCCGCCTGAGGCTCGATGTACGTACGCATTTCCAACTGAGGCTCCCAACTTTCCGGCTCCGGCTCCCAACTTTCCGACTCCAGCTCCTATCTCTCCGAGTCCAGTTCCCAATTTTCCGACTCCGACGCCCGTCTCTCCGATTCCGGCTTCCAGTTTTCCGACAACGGCTGCCAACTTTCCGAATCCACACCGGCCTTCCGACTCCAGCGTCCAAGTTTCCGATTCCAGCTCATTTTCCGACTTCGGCCGAGTTCCGAGTTCAGAATTGAGGCGCCCCGGCGCACCCGCCGTTCCCTACAAGGGACATTTTTTGGCCGACATCGGCGCCGCTCCGCTCTGCTCCGCTCCGCCCCGCCTGTCGCCTGCGCGCCGATCCTGAAAGGGCCAACATGCCTGGCGCGAAGCGCCAGTGAAGACTTGTGTGTGTATAGATCTAGATATAATCCAATACGCTGGGCCCCCTCCTGGGGCATCCTCCACCTCGCTCACATCTTCTGCACGCTCCCGTTACTGCGCTTCCCAGCCTCCCGGGGAGCCCCCACAATGCCCAAAGACAGCCCCAGACGACCCCAAGACGCCCCCAGAACGTAAAAGAATTGCCCAAGACGCTCCCAAGCAACCCAGGATAGCTTTCGGGCGGCTCTCCAGGCTCCCAGGAGGCCTCCAAGAGACCTCAAGAGAGCTCCGAGAGGCTTCCCGAGAGCGCCCGGAGAAGCTAAAAGCTGTCATGTTTCTGGTTATTTCCAAGGGTTTTCTGCCGTCTCACCATTTCATGCTTCCAACGTTCCAAGACGGCCGTCGAGACCCCTAAGACCGCCCAAGAGGCCCCCAAGACGGCCCCAAGACGGGCCAAGACGGTCCCAAGATTGCCGAAAAGGCGCCCCCGACAGCTCCAGACCACCCCAGAACAGGCCGAAGATGAGCCCAAGGGCGGGGGCAGGAGGCTGCCAGAGACCTCCGAGAGGACTCCGGGACTTCCCAGAGGCCTCCAACACACCCCAGACCCTTGAGAGGCCCCCCAAAAGCTCAGACGAGGCCCCCAAAACAGCCCAAGAGAGCTTCGAGAGCCGTCCCGAGAGAGCCCGACGAGGGTAAAAATGTTGAATTTCAATAGGTTTTGTATACTTGGTTTGCCTTTTCACGTTTTCCAGCTTCCATCGCTCCAAGACCGAGGAATTTGAAAAAAAGAGGGGAATTTCAAATATTCTTTAATATGAGCAAATTATCCCAGTGCGACCCTACCTAGGAGTTGGAACCCCCTAGGAAAGCAGCATTAGTAGTAACAGTAACGCTAAGCTAAAGCTAAGCTAAAGCTAAGCTAAAGCTAAAGCTAAAGCTAAGCTAAAGCTAAAGCTAAGCTAAAGCTAAGCTAAAGCTAAGCTAAATCTGAGCAACAGCTAAGCTAAAGCTAAGCTACAGCTAAGCTAAAGCTAAGCTAAAGCTAAGCTAAAGCTAATCTAAAGCTAAGCTAAAGCTAAGCTACAGCTGAGCTCAAGCTAAGCTACAGCTAAGCTAAAGCTAAGCTAAACGCTAAGCGAAAAGCTAAGCGAAACGCTAAGCTAAAGCTAAGCTACAGCTAAGCTAAAGCTAAGCTAAAGCTAAAGCTAAAGCTACAGCTCCCAGGGGACTGGGGGGAACCGCGGGGCGGGGACTGGGGGAACCGCCCGGGGCGCTTTGCACTGCCCGGCCCCTTTAAGCTAAGAGAGTAAGAACCCTTCTAGGCAGAGCCTAGGTAGGGAAAAATGCGCGCCCCCTCCTCCCGGGGGTCCCACACTTTCCCAGAACACCCCCAAAACGCACAGAACAGCCCAAGGCGACCCCAAGAAGCCCCCAGAACTTCAAAGAAAGGCCCAAGACGCTCCCAAGCAACCCAGGATAGCTTTCCAGTCTCCCAGGAGGCCTCCAAAAGACCTCAAGAGAGCTCCGAGAGACCTCCCAAGAGCGCACGGAAAACCTAACATCGTTAATTCGAATGTTTTTTATGGTTTCTGGCCTGCTCACAATTTCGTATTTCCAGCGCTCCAAGACGGCCGAAGAGGCCCCCAAGACCGCCCCGAGACCGCCCAAGAGGCCCCCACGACGGCCCCGAGACGACCCCAAGACTGTCGAAGAGGCGCCCAGGACAGCTCCAGACCACCCCAGAACCGACCAGAGATGAGACCAAGAGCGGGAGCAGGAGGCCTCCAGAGACCTTTGAGGGGTCTCCGGGACCCCCCATGGCCTCCAACAAACCCCAGACTTTTGAAAGGCTCCCAAAAAAGTCCCCGACGAGGCCCCCCAAACAGCCCAAGAGAGCTTCCAGAGCCGTCCCGAGAGAGCCCGAAGAGGGTAACATCGTTGCTTTCCAATGGTTTTTGTATATTGTTTTGCGTTATCACGTTTTCCCGATTCCAACGCTCCGAGTCCATGGAATTAGAAAAAGATAATTCCAGAGATCCCTTTTTTCCAAGTTGGGACTCCTACTCCCTATCCTCTTCCTCGAGCCCCATCAAGACTTCGGGGTCGCATGCAACAAATGTGTCGAAAATGCTGTTGAACTCTCTGACGCTGCCCTGGTACTCTCTTGGATCGCTTTCGTGTCCTCTTGGCTGCCCCTGAAACCTTGGTAGAAATCGAGATTCCATGATCCCATGAGTTGAAGCAGTGGGATTGTAGAATTCTTTTTTTCAAATTCGCCCCCGCTTATTCTTGCACGAAGCCCCCGAGAGGCATCCCAACAGACCGTGGCCTACATGCAGAGCATGTCAAACCCACAGCCCAGGCAATACAATTTGAAAAAAGGGAAACCCCACCATTCCGGTGTTTTTCCAAGTTCGCCCCCCTCTCTATTCTTGCACAACAGACCACAATGAAGGCCCGAGAAAAGAATCAAGGAAGCCTTCGAGGGGCCCAAATCGTTGAATACTTAACGGCAATTAATGATTTCTGCGTTTCCGCAGTTCCCCTTCTATACGCGTCCGAGGCTTGCTCATGGCCTCCAAGAGAGTCCCTGGATGCAAGAAACGGCAAGGATGACATTCCATGTGTACGCCCATCAAGCCTAGCTAGAACTTGAGCGCGCGCGAAGCGCGCGCGATGGTTCTAGTGTGTGTATGTATGTGTATATATATATATATATATATATATAAAAATATCTCCTGCTTGAGGCCGTACCTTCCCGCCTTGACGCCCTCACCCCAGTTCGTGGCTAGGGCGTTGGCGAGTCGATGAGGAGACGGGGCAGGCAAAACAGAGGGAGATGCGTCGGGAGGAGCAGGCGCTGGCGAGCGGGGACAGGGCATGGCGTCGCCACGGAGGGGTTCGCGTCTGGGGTTCGCTTCGGCAGGCGGCAGTGGAGAAGGGCAAGCGTCCGCTCGCCTTCCTGCCGCCCTGGGTGGACGCGGTGACCCAGATGGACTGCTGGTGTCACGGGCGACGTGTGAAGGAGGGCGGGGAGGAGAGAAACCTCGTGCGGGAAGTCATGGCGAACCGCGGCCCAGCGCTTTCCTTTGCCGCTCTCGGGTTTCCGACCGCGGGTTTCTGATTGCTGCGCTGGGCGGTATGGAGCACACGGTGATAGCGACAGCGTCGCCAGCAGACCAGCAAGAGCGAGAGAGAGAGAGAGAGGAAGAGAGAGAAACACCAACAACTATAGTAAACAAAAATATGCTCGTTCATGAAGGGTTCCAGGCAGCAAAGGGACATGGTCTCGATGATGTATGATTTTCCCTGACACAGCCTCACCCACGCCGAGCGGATAACCGCTCGGGAGGGAATGACCCGATCCGACCATGCCCCGAGGATCAATGGCCGTTTCAGTTGTTCTTTTCAGAGGAAAAGCCTCTCTCATCGGAGGATCGTTGGGCCCGAACATGCGGGTGGTTTTCGCTCGAAGCGCGGGCCGCGGTCTGGGTGATTGTCTTCTCGATCTAGGGATTTGTTGGCCCGTGGGTTCGATGTTCCGTAAAGCGTTGCTACATGATGTATTTCTGGGCGTGTGTGCGCCAGGAATTTGGATACGCATGACGAGACTAGCCTAGGCGACAGTTGGCTACACCTGTGACGGCATGTCTTTCCAGCGCTCGGCTCTCATGTCACAGGGTACGCCGGCCATCCGCATGTGAATTCAGCGGGCGGGCCTTCGCGTGTTCCAGATCATAATCCAGCCATCCATGCTCTCCGGCTTTCGGATCGATACGTTTGGGAAGACGAAGAAGAAGTCGTTTGCCATTTGGCATTACGAAACTCACTTATCGAAGACCCAACCTTGTTCGAACATTATGTAATTGCCCTGGCACTGGATTGCAATTTCGTCGTATCTGACCCGCGCGCAGGTTTCTTGGGGAGACTCCCAGCTCGTGGGGACTGGGCGGGCTTGAGACGGCCTCACGCGACAGATTTTCATAATATAGTTTACCTGCTGGTTTTGTTTTGGACTTTGTTGTTTCTGTGTCGTCCTCCACCACTTCTTCCTTCTCCCTCCCTCATGCCTCCTCTTCTTCCTCCATCAAGCCACATATTTCCCCCCGCGGCTCCAAGACACCACTTCTTCCTTCTCTTCCGTTTCTCTGCCTCTTTATTTGACACTTCCTACGTTCGCACATGCGTGTTTTTTTGGCGACACGCTTGGCTTCGCAGCATGCTGGCGGCGGCGGGATCGATGCCTAGCCTGATGTCGTTTGGTGACATGTGCGGTGAATCCAAGGCCCCCGTGCCCTTTCTGAACGTCTTGGCGCATGGGGGGTCCTCTGGGACTCTCTTGGCGCCTTGTTGGGCTGTCTTGGAGCTCTATTGGGCTGTCTGAAACTTGCCAGAAGGCTGTCCTGAACCGCCTGGGGGCATCTTGCGGCCCCATTCGGCTTCTTTGTTGTCGGGGCTTTCTTGGGCAGTCTTGGAGCTCTCTGAAGCCACATATGAGATTGCATACGTATAAACACATCTGTATACACGTTCAGATATATTCATATATACTCTTTCATGCCACACTATACGTTTGTCATGGTCTGCTGTCTGGGACCTCTCCTTGGGCTGTTTTGGAGCCTCCTTTGGATGTTCATACGAGCCATTTGGGTTTTTTCGGGGCCTTGTAATGTCCCGAGAGTCGTGCAGGGGCAATAAGGCTGGAGGGGAGTAAGTATTGTAGCAATGTGTTGACGGTCATTTGAGGCCAGCTGGAGGATAGCATGCTTGTATAATGCTGCATTTCAATATGATCCGGCCTGGGTCGCGCCTGTGTCGCGTTTAGTTTGGGCTGATCGAAGTGCAGCTGGGATTGTCATGGCCACTGCCCCCCGGACAGTGCCACCTTCGTCCAGAACAGCCGCCCATTCGGTGGTCTTTCGAGTCCGATGGCGATGCGAGGGGCAATTGCACCGACGTGAGCCAATCACTTGGAGGCTCGTCACTCGCTCCCGATAATGATGCGACGAGGCATGATTTTTCCACGCTTACACTGATTGCAGTTCACTGGGTGCTACATTCGCCCCCACCTTGGCTGTCTTGCGACTAGCGGGCTCGCACAGTGAGGGATCGTGAGCGCATCGAGTCACGCGATGACGAGAAGCAGCACGTCCCTGCTGAGCCTCGCTGTGTCGATGTTGCCCAGCCACTGCGGTCGTCATTTAGAGCCGTGAAAGTCTGAAGCATTACCAGCGCGACTGCACCACCTCTGACGCCAAAGACAACGAGCAGGGCACGGGGATTGGCAGTGCCATCGCGCAGGGCAAGGAGGGACATTGCAAGGCTGTGAGCGTTGCCGTTGCCAGCGCCGCATGACTTCCTCACGCCGCACAAGGGTTCTCTTAACCGTGGAATCGAAGTCAGTCGTGAAGTGAAAAGTTAGGCAGCGTTGTTTTGTACGCATTTTGTTTGTTCAATGTAGTTTATTCTACGTTGTGACATCGTGTGTTCTAAGTGGTGTATGCTACGTCGCGGTTTCTGCATCGTGATTTGTACGTGGTGTTTTCTACGCTGTGTTTTCTACGTAGTGCTTTCTACGTAGTGCTTTCTACGTGGTGCTTTCTACGTAGTGCTCTCTACGCAGTACGTAGTGCATTCTACGCAGCGCTTTCTACGTAGTGCCTTCTACGCAGCGCTCTCTACGCAGTGTGCCGCTCGATTAGGCGCTGTACCAGGCGCTGTACTGGGCGCAGTACTGGGCGCCTTACTGGGCGCTGTACTAGGCGCAGTGCTAGGCGCTGTGCTAGGCGTTGTATTCAGCGTTGTACCAGGCGTGGGAAACTGACCATCGGAACGCGAAGCCCGCAAATCGAAACCCTAAGCCAGAAAATCCCAGACAATCGAACCCGAAAGCCAGCCCGAAACGCGGAACCAGGAACATCGACAATGCGAAGCCAGAAAACCGAAACTTGAAAGCCGGCCCGAAACGCGGAACCAAACAAATCGGAAGTTAGAATATCGAATCCCGACAGCCCGAAACGCGGAACCCAAAAAATCGGAAAGCCAGAGCCAGAGAATTCTAAACTAAAAAGCCAGCCCGAAACGCGGAACCCAAACAACTCGAAATCGGAAGCCAGAAAACCGAAACCCGAAAGCCGGGCCGAAACGCGGAACCCGAAAATTGGACATCCGGAGCCAGAAAACCGAAACCCGAACACAGGCCCGAAACGCGGAACCAACACAAAAAATGGAAGCTAGACCAGCCCGAAGCGCAGAACCCAAAGCATCGGAAATCCGAGGCCAGAGAATCTAAACCCTAGCCCGACAGCCAGCCCGAAGCGTGGAACCCAAAAGATCGAAGTCCGGAGCCACAACACCGAAACCGGAAAGCCAGGCCCGCATCGTGGCACCCAGTCACGCAATTTGTTTTACGCTGCGTGCTCTACGCGGTGGTTTGGCGCGCGCCTCCAAGAAGGATGCTCGAAAGGCGGTTGCTCAAGCACAAAGCGTATGACGCCACGCAGGGAACATTGCACAGAAGACGCTACGTAAAAAAACAACGCAAACAACGTCGTGAAAACACACTGCTTGAAAAACCATTGCTAACACATGTGTAAAGACATTGCGTAAGCAAGCACTGCGTAGAAAACCTTGCGTGAAACCCACTGCGTGAACAAACACAGCATTTCGTAAAAGAACACCTGCGTTAAAAGCAATACGTTGAAGCATTGCGAAGCAATTGCATACAAAAATAGTGCGTAACAAAATCATAACGTACAACAACGACATTGCAGAATTCAAACATAGCAAAACATCACATTGACATCACAACGTAAACAAACGGTGCGTGAACAGTTTGCGCAAAAGCATTGCGACAACAAAAGCATTTCGTAACATGGCATTGCGTGAAATTTGGTGTAAGAGCATAACGTTCAAACGCATTGTGTTAAACACATTTCCGCAACACATTGCGTTAAAACGCATTGCGTTAAAACATGCGTAACAAACATTGTGTTCAAAACACTTCGTAAAACTAACATTGCGTTTAAGGTACCGCTTTTCAAACATTGCGTACAAAAACATTGCGTCAACAACACTACGTAGAAAAACACCTTGTGTTAAACAAAAACATACGTAAAAAACATTGCGTTAACGACATTGCGTAGATGAGTTAATTTCACGCTTAAGACCAACCTTCTACGCAACTTCGCCGCCGGAGGTGGGTGACGCGAAGGCCACGGGCACGAGAGCCCAAGCGTGCGCGCGGAGGCGAAGGCGGGCATGAGCTGCGGCCCTCAAGCGGTGCCGCTGGTCGACTAGCGGATGGCTGTTCTCAAGTTGCGCGCACCAGCAAGGCCGTACCAGCACAGTCCGGGCTTGGCTTGCAGTGCACCTGTGCTGCGGCCCGCCCCTCGGGCTAAACACTGTGACCCTTTGTGGGTGCGTGTTGGGCGCTGCTTCCCTCCGGGGTCGTTTTCATCTGCGTGCGCCGTCCTCAATTCTAGGCCTCCCAGACGGGGTCCGGGCAATGGGGTCGGAGGATCGCGCTGCATTTCCGATGCATTGGCGATGCGGCTCTGCGGCTCGATGTGGAGCTCGAAGTTCTCCACGCCGACGTCGGCGATGTATCGACGATGTCGCCGATGCATCGCCGATACATCGGCGATGCATCAGCGATGCGCCGCGTCCCTCTGCCCCCACCTACTCGGACCCCATTTGGGAGCCTCTATCAACGCAGGTTGGCAGTTCGCTTGCACGCAGCCCGTCTTGGTATTATCGCGGGTGTGGTGTCACATAGCGGGCGGAGTTAAAAGCGGGATTTTGAAAGAGTATCGAGCAGAACGGTCCACTCTTCATCGCCGTTGAGTTTCGTAGATTTGTTGCAGGAGAGTTCTCGTCCCTTTCTCCGTCCTCCCTCGCCCTCCTCCTTCCTCGTCCTCCTTCCTCCTCCCCCTGCGTCCCCTCCCCGTCTCTACACCCTATAAGCCCTCTCCCCTCTCCCCCGGAGGCGGCAGAGGCAGGGGCCTCGCTGCTTACCTGCACCGTCGGCAGCTCTGCATCTCTGCACCTCTCGCCGCTGCAGGTGGTCCGAGCCCAGGGCCGCGCCGAGCACGGCGACGCCCGCGGCGTCCGGCGCCGCGGAGGCTGGGGAGCGCCCCGGCGCGGCGGCGGAGCGGCCGGGCGAGGCGGCGCCAGACGCGGCTGCGCCGCGCCGTGGTGCGGAGCCGGAGGGGCCCGCAGCCCGAGGCCATGCCGGGGGCGGGGGGCGGAGGGGCCAGGCGGGGGGCGGCGGGCGGAGGGGGAGGGCCACGCGGGGGGCGGGGCGGGGGGGGAGGCTGCGCGGGGGGCGGCGGCGGCGGGTGGAGGGGGAGGGGGGCGCGGCTGGCGGAGGGGGAGGGCCATGCGGGGGGCGGGGGTGGGGGGGCCATGCGGGGGGGGCGGGGGGGGGGATGGGAGGCGTCTTGTCGGTAGCGTGGAGGCGGTGCTTAGCCCCGTTCCGATGTCCCCACTAGCCTGTCCCCCCAGTGTGGGGAGGTGCCCCAATCGAAGCCCGAGAGGGAAAGCTGGTCTATTCCCCACCCAGGGGGGCAAGTCAAGGATCGGTGAAGCGGTGCTCGTCTTGTCAGGGGCGCTCCAGGGGGAGCGCACCGAAGCTCTTTAGCCCTATGGCCCACTGGTGGTCAACAGTGGACCGATGGCCCACCCCGCCCAGGAGCGTGCAGATTCGCCATTGGGGTCTCCTCGCCGATCTGCAGTCAGGCCGTTGAAGAAGGAATCCTTTTCAGTGTTCCTGCATTGTTTTATACTTGTTTCTCAGTGTTTCCTTAGGGTTTCGATGGGGCATCGAAGTGGAACTCGTTCCAAATTTAGGATTCCGTATGACAGCGTCTCGATTGTGTCGGCGATGCATCGCCGATTCCAGGTCGATGTCCCCCCCCTCACTGAACCAGTCTCCCCTGTCGTTCCCGCTCACCTTGCATCTGCTTAAAGAAGGTCGTGTGGCGTGCTTTGGGGGCAGGTTCTTAGTGTTTGCGATCGTGCGTGGCTGTCTGGGCCCCCTGGAGCATCCAGGGATCTCCAGAGACCCTTGAAGGGCGGGTGCAGGACACGAGGGTGGCTGGCCCAGGTCGGCATGTGCAGGGGGGGGCGCAGGGGCAAGGCTTAAGTCGGGCCTGTCCCTCTACAGGGGGGATCTTCAAAAATAGAAAAAACTAGTCTGGGGACGATTCGTGCTATACTTTCTTCTTTCTCTCTTTTTTATATTTTTCATTTTTCGTCCGAATTCCGCCTGTAGGGGGACACGTCTGACCTAATGCAAGGGAAGAGCAGCTGCAGACGAACAGGAGGAGCATAGGACGGAGGAGGAAAGGAGCAGGCACAGGAGAAGGCATTGCGGGTGGATTCGCAGGAGGAGGCGCAGAAGGAGAAGCAGAGTGGGAGCAAGAGAAGCGACACGGAGTTGCCCCTGAACGGCCCCACTCTGTTCTCTGCGGTGCCACCGTTTTCCTCCAAGCTGTATGCTGCTGTGCTGGCGGCTGGTCCGCACTGAACGGGTGTGGTTGTGATAAATTGTGATCGGTTGTCATGCTTCTTATTGATGCATATCCTCTTCAAAATCTACACGGACGTGCACGCACGAACACATTGGTTGTAGTTCATTCGTAGCATAATCCGCGGAGGTGAAGGCGATTGAGGAAGAGGTGTGCAGAAGGGTGTGCAGAAGGGAGCTTCGATGTGACAGTGCGGTAAATGCGGTGTGTACCAATTTGACGTGCGTTGCGGGAATATTGGTGGAAGCATTGACGGAGGATGTGAGTGGATGATGAGGCCAGGTATCATCCTTCCTCTTCTTCTCCCCCGCCCCTCAGGGTCCATGTCGATCCGATCGATCCAGTTCTATATCGATTCAGGCCCGCTCGAACCAATTTGATTTCGAGAGTCCGACGATCTGATGCGGTCCGATGCTTGCATGGCGCTCTTGTGCACCCTGGTGCAGCTGATATCTCGACTCCGTGACGATGCGAGCCGGTCTGATCCCCATTCCGATTCGATCCGATCTCTCTATCCAATGTCGATTGATCTTGCCTTGCTCACCACCCCCCGTCCCATTTCTGGCCTCATCTGCCTCTCCCTTCCCGCCGCCAGGCATCTTCCCGCAGATCACCATGCTGAAGGATTGCGGGTGCCGCGAGACAGCGGTACCGCACCATCACGCTTTTTGCTGGGTGGTTTGTGTATTACACCGTGGTTTGGGTTCCACTGGTGTGAGTTTCCAGGTGCGCCTCGTTGCTACGCACGTAACCTCGGAAGGGCACATTTGGCGTGTCATCTCTCCTCCGAGATCCTCCGACAGAAGAAGCGCTCTAAAGCCTCAGTCCTCGATCCTCGTCTCTTCGATCCTTGCACCAGGGCAGCCCCAGTGAAGAGACGGTGCTAGAGGCGGTCTGCAGGTATCCGCCAGAGTAGTTCTTCTGGCCACTTGTGCCCCCGTCGAAGTCGTGGGAAGGCTTCCTCTCAGAGGCGAGACAAACCGATCCAGCACTCTTTAACGGTATATTTGTTCTCAGTCATTCTATGAAGCTCATTTTCGGATCAGAAGTGCTCCGTTCCATTCCGTTCCTTGATCTTTGGATCTTTCTGGAGGGGAGCCCCGGGGTCCCCGCGAGGAGCTGGACAAGGGATACCCGGGCGCCAGGTTCATCCTCAGCACGCGCGACACGAGGACCGTCAGCGTCAGTGTGGGCGGTCACGCGGGAGCTGCTCTTCGGTCATCGAGAACAAAATGACCCCTAACCCTAATACCACAACGAAGACGTGGCCTCACTGAGGTCTCCGCCTTTGCACTAGGGATACCCAATCTGGGCTGTTTGGTTCGATGCATCTGCAGAAAAGAATAGAAAAGACCCCCTATCTCTAATCTTTTCGCCAATCCTAACTTAGGTCCCATCCCAAAGGGTTAGGGCTCCTTTTTTGGTTGCTCACTCGGGGGCTGCCAAGGGTGCCCCCTGGCCCAGCGCAGGCGCACGGCGCACGTGTCATCCCCTGACTTCTTCGTGTGCGGTGGCAACCACTGCGGAGGGTTTGTGACAGTGCTCAGCCTCTTGCGGCCCTTACTGGGTCCAGGATTGCAAGAAGACATCCTGGGATGAAGAGCCAGTCCCCAGGAATTGAGCAACAAATTATCCCAGTGCGACCCTACCTAGGAGTTGGAGCCTCTAGGAAAGCAACAGCAGCATGTGGCAGCAGCAATAGTGGATGTGGCAGCATGTGGCAGCATCGATAGTATGCACATAGCAGCATGTGGCAGCAGCAGTAGTGGATGCCGTGCTGCGCTATGCTATGCTCTGCTCTGCTCTGCTATGCTATGCTATGCTATGCTGCGCATTATGCTGGGCTAGGCTAGGCTATGCTATGATATGATATGCTATGCTATTATTTTGCTTTGCCTTCGCTTGTGCCTTCACGTTTGCCTTTGCTTTTGCTTTTGCTTGGCACCCAGGGAGCGCACCTGGGGCAACCGCGCGTTTGCTTTTACATTTGCTGTTGCTTTTGCTTGGCTCCCAGGGGACTGGGGGAACCGCCCGGGGCGGTTTACACTGCCCGGCCCCTTTAAGCGAACAGAGTAAGAACTTTTCTAGGCAGAGCCTAGTTAGGGAAAAAGCAAGCAGTGGATGGCTTGAGATAGGATCGATAAAGAGATCGATGAGGAGACCGACCGGGAACCCGGGGACCCGGGAGGCCCGGAACCCACCGAAATCGGCCCGGAACCAACGACCAGGAAACCGGGAACCTGGAGCGGGGACCCAGGAACCCAGCCGGCCATCAAAATCGGCGGGACGATTTCGCCCTCTTCAGTGCAAGCACCGAGTAGTGGAAAATTGTCCCAGTGCGACCCTACCTAGAAGTCGGAGCCCCTAGGAAAGCAGCATTAGTTGCTATGCCATGCTATGCTATGCTATGCAATGCTCTGCTGCGCTATGCTATGCTAGGCTAGGCTAGGCTATGCTATGCTAAGCTAAGCTATGCTATGTCATGCTGCGCTGTGCTATGCTAAGCTATGCTATGCTATGCTATGCTGCGCTGTGCTGTGCTGTGCTGTGCTGTGCTGTGCTGTGCTGTGCTGTGTTATGCTATGCTATGCTATGCTATGCTGCGCTATGCTATGCTATGCTGGGTTATGCTATGATATGCTGTGCTGCGCTATGCTACGCTATGCTGTGCTGTGCTATGCTATGCTAAAGCTCAGCGAAGCTAAGATGAAGGTAAGTTAAGCTAAGATAAACCTGAGCTAAGATGAAACTAAGCTAAGATGGAATAAGCTAAGCTGAGATGAGATAAACAACGCCAAGCTAAGGGGACGTAGCTGGGGGAACCGCGGGGAGGATGCCGGGGGAACCGCCCGGGGCGGTTTCCATTGCCCAGCCCTTTAAGCACACAGGGTAAGAACCCTTCTAGGCAGAGCCTAGGTAGGGAACCATGGCATAAACATGACAACCGGGAGGTCCGCGCGGAGTTCTCGGAAGGGCGCTGGACCCCCCTCCTTGGCGCGCCAGGGGCGGCGCCGGAAGGCGTCGCTAGGGAGTTTCTAGCGCCGATCCGAGAAATCTGCGCGAACCTCCGAGTTTTGATCCTTATGTCATCGCTTGTTCCCCTAAGGAAGGAGTCCAGACCTCTCCTTCTAGGATGCCACGTGAAGCAGTCACGATGTCGGATGTCTTGGCCTCTTGCTCTTCGCTGTTTCTTTTGCGGGGGAGGCCCCTCCCGGCCCCTCTCCCCATGGGAGGTGCTTGGTGGCACCTCTCTCCAACAAAGTTCTGGGTAATCCTACAAACGCCCTGGCTGGCTGGGCATGCTGCCGCTGTTTTACGCTTCACTCAGCACGACCATGGCAGCACACAAACAGTTTTTTGTTTGACCGTCCAGAGGCCCGAGGCTGGCCTCCAGAGGCCAACACTTGTGACGAACCCGCCGCCTCGGTACCTGCGAGGCGCAGGTGTCTGTGAAGTTGTCCCCAGCTCATCGCACCTCTTCAGAGCCCCCCCTGGGCCCTCCAGGCCTCTCGGCTCGGCATCGCTCGGACGTGTGCATTTCTCCTCGGCGAGGACCATCGAGGAGCGTCCTGGATCATCCAGCAACGCGCGCGAAACCGAAACATGCACAGGGAATGGACGTCCGAGCGATGGCAAGTCAGGGGCGCTCTGGAGGCCGTCTGGGCCTCCCTGGAAGAAGTTGGGGCCACCCTGGGCCAGGGCCACCCCCGGCAGCACCTGGCGTAGGGGCGGCAAGGGCGGGGCGCACACCCTGGCGGGGCGTGCTGGGCTATGCGTAAGGGTGACCATTCGCCGGAGGGACCTGTGGTGCGGGCACACGGGGATCGCCAGATGGCTGAATGCGCTGCGATAGCAGCGGCTTGCGTGCTCTGGTTCGGCCTCCCCGCGGCCCCCAGAAGTCGCGCACCAAAGGTCATTCTTGCCTAGGGTCACTCTTACGTGTAGCCGACATGTCCCTGCCCTCCTGCTTTGGTTTCGGGGGGTCCGCCATACTTAACTAAGTTGTGTGCCAGGTACTATCAAGCACTACTCTTTCTCGTCTGTAGCTGACCCCTCGCAGACCTGGTAAGCGAGAGCTTCTCGCACGCGTCCTGCGCAGTCGCAGACCAGTTCTCCCCTCGCCCGTAGGTGTTTTGATGCTGGCTTCACGATTCTGCGTGGCTCTCACCGCACTTCGGAATGATCACGACGGTCCCTTAATCGACCGTTCGTCGTGGCCCCCCTCCTCGTCAGACCCCCTCATTTAAAACACGACTGGAGTTCGCTGGTAATTTTCAGCATCCGGGGGGCCCTCATCGGGCTCTGGGACCGTGAAAAAACGCTCGGGATGAAAAAGCTCACCGTGGGGAAAGAGTTGGGTTTTCTGGGGACCCAATGTTGAGAGAATCAAGACATCGGATCTCTGGAGTCGTCCTTGTCGGAGCCCAGCTTGCGCGAGCATTGGCGGCAGCATGGTTGTCGAAAGGCGAGTGGTGGAGGAGTCGAAGGAGTTTCCAATACAGCTCCAGCTCGAGCCAGTGTGACGGTGAGAGCGTGATCGGACTGAACATGCTTGAGAGTTGGTGCACGTGCCCACTTATCCTCATCCCCATGGTAAGCTTCCTACCTCCCTGTTGCTGCTGCTTATGGTGGTCCCCCTCCTTCCGCCATGCCGCTGCCTCTTCTCGCCCCCCCCCGCAGCCTCTAGGGCTTGGGTGCAGTCGGTCACCAACTACTACCACCTCAGGCGCCTGGGGTGTCGAAGCTCAAGCTCTTCGCACGGCTGTTATGTCATGCCTCAGGTGAGGTGTGGGAGCAGGGGACGAGAGGGAGGATTCTAATAATGGAGATTCCCCAAAGCAGGCGTTGCCTTAAAGGGGCCAGTGCTTCTTCTGTGCCAGAGGGGGCATTGACCGCTGTGTAGTTGGCGGCGGGTTCCTAAGAAGGCTTCACGGCGGTTTCGCTTCCCCTCGCAAGTTGTATATGTTATGGTATATTTGGTTCGGTACGTTCGCAGCGCGTTGTGTCGCATTGCATCGCTTTTACGTTCTATTGCATTGTTCGCCATTCCTTTGCAGCGTAGTTTGCAACGCGCATGGACTTATTATTATGACTTTTCGCGTTTTCCCACAAGCTTGTTCAGCACAGTGCAACCTTGGCCTGCACCCGTCTCTCTTCGCTGGTCTCGTTCGGTGGCCATGGTTCGTGGTACGTCGACTGATTGGACGGCACGCATCGCCGACTGGGGTTCCTCCTGATGAAGGACTTCTGTGGCACTTATTTGAGGCTGGCCGTGGTGTGGTCACAAGATTTTGTTCTTGACGACGGCTGTGGTGCCCGTGCCCCACATTCGACACATGCTGTCTCGCGGCCGAGGGCAAGTTCGCTGAGGACAAGTTCGTCGTGGTCAAATTCGCTAAGGACAAGTTCGCTGCACAACTTCGCTGAAGGCCATTCTTCGACACGCTTGCCCGGTTATTTTTGACTTCTGAGTGTGCCGCTTGCTCGCCGCATCTGTTCTAGCCGCGGCCTTTAGGCTTGCCTGACCCTTGTGACGGCGCGCGGCTCTCCCGCTTGCGCTCGCGAGCAACAAAGTATTCCCACAAGCGCATCCAGAAACGATACCCAGGCGAGTTGTTTTGACCAGGGAAGGCAGGAGCAAGCAGTTGGAGAAAGATGGGGGCAGCCGTCGATTCGAAGCTCGGGATCAGACTGAGCAAAGGAGGAGTCATCCATCATTGACGATTCGGATCTTCTGATATGGGAGCCTCTTGGAAGTTGACTTGGATCAACTTGGGGCCTTTTCGGTGCCATTTGGGGGGCCGCCGGGGCTCTGTCAGGGTTCTTTTGCAGCCCCGCTGGGCCGATCTTGTGGCCCTGTCGGAGCCATTTGGGAGGCCGCTAGGGCTTTGCCAGGGACCTCCCGCGGCCCTCCTATCCTGGAAGCAATGGGTCCCAAAAGTGCGGGATCCTCAATCCACGTCCGAGCCGTCAGAGCTGGACAGATCGCAGGCGCGTCGTATATCGATGGTGTTTCGCCCATGGGCTTTGCCGAGCAGGGTCGATGCACGCGTTGCGACGTGCGCCTCTGTGGCGACCATTGGGCAATTCGAATTCGTTTCAGCTTTTTACGCTACCGTTGAATTGTCTCGCACTGTGATAGCAGCCGCGGCGTGGGAGTTCACGTGGCCGTGCTCTTCCCCTTTTTTCCTCCTTTTCCCCTCCCCTGTTCAAAAAAGGTCGACGACGAGGACCAGGCGCAGAGCATGAAGAGGAGGAGGAGGAAGAGGAGGAGGAAGAGGAGGAGGAGTCACGAGGAGGATTTGTCCTCCAAGTGTTGTGGTTTCTCTTCCTCCCTCTTCCTCTCTCTGTCTCGCTCGCGCTTGGCTTGTGAGTCATATTACGACGCGTTGCGGGGGAGAGGGTCCAGCCTGGCAGGTTAGTCAGTTTTGGCTTAAATGGTTGCAGGTCAGCTGTTGTCCAGTCTCGTCGGCGCTGGGTTTCCTCGCTTACCGGCCGGCGCGACAACCTCAAATTCATAGGGTTTTGGGGGTACGTGTGGTCGGGTCCGTTTGACCCATTCCTTTTGGATGGTGAGAGGCGTCATCGTCGTTGGAGGGAAAGGGGGAGGGGTGCCGTGCAGAGATTGATATCACAGGCATTCAGGGGTGCCTCTGGACACGGAACAAACTATTCACGCAAGCCAAGCTTCCGACCTCAGAGTTTTTTCGCGGTTTTTCGGGATGATTCCAGCCGTCTGCGCTCGACGTCGCGCGGCCGCCCTCAAGTATGACGCAATCTGCCCGGGCCCTCGACATCGTCCTCCGTGTCTCCGCTTCAACTCACTTGCCGTCGCCGTCCCTTCCCTGGAAGCGATCACCTTACCTTGGAGAAGGCGTAGAGTGTAGAGGCAACTATGTCCTTGGACACGCCCAAGAGACGCTCCCAATGTACCCCCAAGGCAACGCCACCGCGTAAGCAAGTTCGGGATTTGCATCCTACCTGAGATTCGCGGGTTCCATATACAGTGTATTTTGATGGGGTTTCTGATTCCGTGTTCCGTGGACTGGGACGATCGACGATGCCTACGGCGAATCACCTCCGTCCCCTGCCTTTGTGGAATCGCCTAGGTGGCCGAACGTTGTGGCCAGAGCTCGGCCAGGCTATCGGACTATGTATTCCCCCGGCCGCTGTGGAAATTTTTCGGGGAATGCGAGGGAGAGAAACAAGAAGAGGAGGGGAGGCAGGAACAAGGAGAAACAGGCCTCTTGGGAGCCTCTTGGGGCACTCCTGGGGTCTCCTGGCAGCTTCCCGGGAACCTTTTTGGGGCCTTTTGGGTGCCTCCTTTGGTCGCTGGAGTGCCTTCGGGGGCTTCTTGGGGGCTTCTTTGGCCGTCTTAGCGCAATCCTGGCCCGTCGGACGCCGTCGGGAGCAGCCTTGTGGGTCCTCTCTGGGCCGTCTATGGGGCCTCCTTGGAGGCCTCTTGGGCGATCTTGGGGTCATCTGGGGCCGTCGGAAGGCCGCACAGAAGCACATCTCAAATCCTTCAAATGCTTACGGGCAGTGCAAGATTTGGGCTTGTTGGGGCCTTCCTGAAGGACCTCTTTCTTGGAGGCCGCTTTCGCCGTCTTGGAGGCTTCGTGGGGGCCTCCTCGGCCGTCTTGGAGACATCTTGCGGCCATCTTGGGCTCTCTCTTGGGGCCGTCTTGGCCGGGTCGCAGGCAGCTTGAACGTTTTTGGGCCCTCTTGGGGCCGTCTTGGGGGCCTGTTGGGCCTTCCTCGGGACACCTTCGGAGCCTCTTGGGCGATCTTGGGGCAATCTCAGAGGGGGCCTTTTGGGCCGTGTGCAGCCAACGGGCGCCGAAGAGGAGCAACGGCTAAACTATGTTGAGCCCTGAAGATAGTTAATGATTTTGATTTCATCGGGCCTTCCCGGAAGAAGGCCGTCTTGAAGGCCTCTTGAGGCCTCTGTGGCCTACTCAGGCCGTCTTGAGTGTATTTTGGGCCGCCTTGGAATCGCCTGGGGGTGCTGTCTCTCGAGCCTTCCTGGAGGACCTCCTGGAGGCCTCTTCTATCGTCGTGGAGGCCTCTTGGGGGCCTTTTGGGCCGTATTGCGCCATCTTGAGGCCATCTTGGGCCGCTTTGGTGCATCTTGGGCTGTTTTGGGTGCATATTGGGGCCATGTTGAGTTCTCTTGGGGGCATCTTGGCCGTCTTGGAGGCCATATGAGCCGTCCTGCAGGCCATCTGGGGCCGTCTCAGGTCTTAGGCGGCGGCATCGATGGACTGTACATTTTCCAGGTGGTCGGCGGGATCAGCCGAAGCCCACTAGAAGTTCTGTAGAACAGAACCCAAGCCTTCTCAAAAGTCTAGCACGCCAGGCACCTCTGTGATGAACCACCAGGGGGCGGCGGATCGAAGACGCCCACGGTGATTCACCGCCGCCCCGTGCCCTTTAGAATACGCTTATGACTTTAGGATACGCCTTTTAGCACAAGAGCACTTGGCCAGCACTGAAGGAACAACGCGTTCAACCCGAATACACTGCATTACTCCAGCAGCTTTACGCGGGGCAGACAGCCACGGCGAAGACAGACGTCAGCAGCGGACCCTTCAGCCTCCTGCGGGGCACGAAGCAGGGCGACCCGCTCAGCTCCCTACTTCCCAACGCGTTTCTACAACAAATCTTTGGACCGCTGGTCTCCGAGTGGCATCAGAAAAAGAAGAGTGCCGAATTAGGATTCACGAGCAACACCACGCTCACCAACCTACGCTTCGCCGACGACGTGCTACTCACCAGTCAGACTCCCGCGTCTGACTACGATGCTTGACGACATTGCGCGCGCGGCAAAGTTGCACGGGCTCGACTTACACCCGAGCAAAACCAAGCTATTCGGAAACCAGACGAGAAGAATTGGAAGGGCGAGCTCATGCACAGCATATGTCTAAGACATGGAGATAAAGACCATCCCGTATGAGGGCAGCCTCAAATACCCCGGCCACTTGGTCAGCTTCCACGAACAGGTGGACACGGAAATCCAGCATTGCACGTGGGCGGCATGGGCATATTTTGCCTCTCGCAAGCTGGAGCTGGCCAGTAAGCACGACGCACTGGCTCACCGACTCTGGATTTTCAATTGCACGGTGACAGACAGCGTTATATGGTGCACAGACACGGACACTCACGGAACCCTTACGGCAGCATCTACGATTGACACAACATCGCATGTTCCGCATGACTATCGGCACGCCGAGGCGACGCACAATTACACAAGCAAACCCTCACAGCGGTCGAGGGCCCGAGGGACCTCTGCCGTCGACGTTACAAACACGGGAGCACCTGACAACGACCACTGCACCAATAGCACTAGCGAAGACGACGACGACGACGCAGACATCAACCCACTCCAGCGCGACACGCCTGCCACACCTGGCACAGCGAAGGCGGCGAAGACAGGACCACAGCAGACACGGTGGAATATTGGGTTGAATACACAGCGAGCGACACGACGTGCAGACCACCTCATGAAGCTCCACCGCATCGGCAATTGGACGACGGTGCACAAGCGAAAGGTATGGCGCATGGCTTCCAGAGTCGCAAACCGTGACCCAACACGGTGGACATGGCGAATGTTTCAATGCCAACCAGACATCCACCCGCGCCAGCCGGGAAAGAGGCAGCACGGTCGCCAACGCAAAGGTTGGATCGACGAAGTAAATATTTATTTACGTCAAAATAAACCAGACTTCCACCGACCACCCGCACATACCCCTTCGAAAGTTGAACCAAACGACAGCACATGGGTGCGAACAGCCCAGGACACCGAAACATGGACGGCACTCGAACATCACTACACCGACCCCGCAGCAGCAATCACAGGACCAAGAACAATGACACGATTTCCCACTACCCGCGCCAACGCCCACACCAAGGACTTATTCTTCCTCCCTCCATCCTCCCCGCCCCCACATTGTCACACACGAGCATAGCATACAGCACGCCGGCATCGACCTCCAGGACCTTTCTTCCCTCCTCCCCTCATAACTTGTTATACATGTCATGTGTCTCGCACTGCGTAGTGTCCAAACACGCCAGACTTCTGAGGCCAAGGCCTTGCTCACCTGGTTTTAGATAGACCCAGACGATGTCCGCAGCGGTGGTCGTATCGTATCGTATCTATGTGGCCAAGCGTTTGGGAAAACTTGGCCACGCTATTGGACCATACCTTCCCCCAGCCGTTCTGGAAGCCCTTGGGGGAACACGTAGGGGCCCAGGGATGGAAAAGGAGGATCAGGAGAGGAAGGAAAACAGAGGATGAGGCGACGGATGAGGGTCATTCTTGGGGCCATTCTTGGGGCCTGGGAGCTCCCAAGGGGCCTCTTGAAGGCCTCTTGGCGGCTTTGGGCTTTGAGGGCTTCTTAGGGGCCTTCCTGGCCGTCTTACGGCGTTCCTGGTCAGTCTGGCGTTGTCGGAAGTTGTTTTGGGAGCCTCTCTGGGCTGTCTTAGGGCCCTCTTGGGGCGCTTCAGTGTCGTCTTGAAGGCCATCTTGGGCGTCTTGGAGGCCTACTGAGCTGTCCTGGGGCCCTTTGGGAGCCGTCTCGGGGGCCTCTTAGGCCGTCCTGGGGCCATCTTGGACGTCACTCGGTTGATCTTGGGGCACTCTTGGGGCCCTCTTGGCCCGTCTTGGGCCGTCGGATGACCGTTTTGAAGCAAATGCCCAAATCTTTCAAACACCTTAGGAAACTCCATGACTCGGGCCTTCCTGGAGGACATTTTGGAGGCCTCTGGGGGCGTCTTCGGTTTTGGAGGCATTTTGGGACCGTTTTGGAGGCCATCTTGAGGTTATCTTGGTCCCTCTTGCTGCTATCTTGGCCATCTCCATCTGGGCCGTCTCGGAGGCGATTGAGCCAACGGAGTTGGGTTTTCTGGCGGCTTTGTGCAGCTCTCCGAGTGGCCGGTGGGTGGGGCCGAGACCCACGGCGAGTTCTTCAGAAGCGACCCAACAACCCAGACTTGTGGCGACCAAAGCCCAGACAGCGAGCAGTCCAAAGCGCGTGAAAGTTTGTAGCAGACGCTTGGAATGACGCTTGGGAAAGGAGCTTCGCAGGAGCTCCGGAAACGCTGCGAAGGAATTGCGGAAAAGGCTTCTGGCAAGCGTATTGGGAACGAGAAGGATCACGTTTCCGGGACAAGTTGCCGGCTCACAGGAGGCGCTGCGGAGATCGTTGCCCGGCGCCGGAAAGAGCTCTGGGTCTACCAGTCGTTGCTCAGCATCTAGTCTGAAACCCTCGCAGCTCTCAGAGAGCTCTCCGAGAACAATTGGCACGCCAGGCACCCCGTTCATAAATCAACAGGGGACGGCGAACCTAGCGCTTCCCGCCACCGTGCCTGGGTTGCAGGTAAGAGGCCTCGTTTGGATGCCTGAGGATCTTGGTGGAGGTCTCTCGAAAGCCTCTTGGAGGCGGTTTGCGAAGTGTCTTGGGGCGTCTCAGGGGCCTCGTGGGGGCCACTTGGGACCCAATTTGAGTCTCTCGGGGCCTCTCAGGGGCCTCGTGGGGGCGCCTCAGGGTTCTCTGAGAGGATCTGGCGGCCGTCTTTGGGCGGAGGGCTCCAATGTCAGTGCGTGTTCTCGATTTTGAGTTCCTCTTGGGGCTGTCTTGGCAGCCTCTTGTGTTCCTCTTGGGGGCTCTTGGCCCGTTTTTGGGGCGACCCTGGGCGCCTTTGGGCCGTCTTGGACGCTCTGACGATGAAGAAGGCGGCACTGCTGAAGCCGTACAAAAACCAACGGAGTCTGACGATGTTGGCTTCTTGGGGCCGCCCTCCAGGGCTTCAAAGACGTTCCAGGAGGTGCTCAGGAGGGCTCCAGGGCGGTCCTCGGGGACACCGTAGGCCATGTTGGACATGCCTGGAGTGCAAGCATCCCGCTGGCGAGCGGCAGGCCCGATGCGGCTGCCGAGGTGCAAGCACCCTGCGGCGCCACCGCTCAGCGGCGGCCATGAACGCGCGCGCGCGAGTGGGTGTTTGGTTTTCCAGGAGGGGAAACACACACACACAGACACAAGTAATCGACGATTCCAAGGAAAACATGGGAACATGTGGGAAGTTGGGGGGGGAAAACGAAAACTCCGATTTATTTGTGCGTCCTTGGGCCCCTTTAGTTTTGGAACGAATTACCCTGGCGGCGTACCCAACCCCTGCGCAAAAGGGGGGCGCAAATAGTTTAGGATACTTTATAAGGGGGCGATGACGAAGCGAGGGTTACATATGTCTGCAGACGGAATTCGGGAGACTCGCAGGACACTGGTTACAGGAAAAGGGCTTGATAAAGCTGATGAGTTACAATTCCTGGGCACTCCTAGCCACTTCGAAAACGGGGATCACAGCAGGCCCCGAAAGTGGCGACAGTTTCACAGATCGCAGCCCCGCAGGGATGGCGAGGTCTAATTTGGGTCCGCGCGTGGCGTCACTGTGCTGGGCCCCCCAGCAGGCCTCGAAAGTGGCGACAGTTTCACAGATCGCAGCCTCCCAGGGATGGCGAGGTCTCATTTGAATCTGCCCGTGGCGTCACTGCGCTGGGCCCCCCAGCAGGCCTCGAAAATGGCGACAGTTTCACAGATCGCAGCCCCCCAGGGGTGGCGAGGTCTCGGTTGAACATGCCCGTGGCGTAACTGTGCAGGGCCCCCCAGCAGGCCTCGAAAGTGGCGACAGTTTCACAGATCGCAGCCCCCCCAGAGATGGCGAGGTCTAATTTGAATCCGCGCGTGGCCCTCACTGTGCTGGGCCCCCCAGCAGGCCTCGAAAATGGCGACAGTTTCACAGATCGCAGCCCCCCAGGGATGGCGAGGTCTAATTTGAATCTGCCGTGGCCCTCACTGTGCTGGGCCCCCCAGCAGGCCTCGAAAGTGGCGACAGTTTCACAGATCGCAGCCCCCCAGGGATGGCGAGGTCTAATTTGAATCCGCCCGTGGCCCTCACTGTGCTGGGCCCCCCAGCAGGCCTCGAAAATGGCGACAGTTTCACAGATCGCAGCCCCCCAGGGATGGCGAGGTCTAATTTGAATCCGCCCGTGGCCCTCACTGTGCTGGGCCCCCCAGCAGGCCTCGAAAGTGGCGACAGTTTCACAGATCGCAGCCCCCCAGGGATGGCGAGGTCTAATTTGAATCCGCCGCGATTACCCTCTATGCAGGACCCCCCAGCAGGCCTCGAAAGTGGCGACAGTTTCACAGATCGCAGCCCCCCAGGGATGGCGAGGTCTAATTTCGAATTGCGATGGCCCCTCCCTATGCAGGACCCCCCAGCAGGCCTCGAAAGTGGCGACAGTTTCACAGATCGCAGCCCCCCAGGGATGGCGAGGTCTAATTTGAATCCGCCGCGATTACCCTCTATGCAGGACCCCCCAGCAGGCCTCGAAAGTGGCGACAGTTTCACAGATCGCAGCCCCCCAGGGATGGCGAGGTCTAATTTGAACCGCCGCGATTACCCTCTATGCAGGACCCCCCAGCAGGCCTCGAAAGTGGCGACAGTTTCACAGATCGCAGCCCCCCAGGGATGGCGAGGTCTAATTTGAATCCGCCGCGATTACCCTCTATGCAGGACCCCCCAGCAGGCCTCGAAAGTGGCGACAGTTTCACAGATCGCAGCCCCCCGCAGGCAACACAGAAAGAGGCAGGAAAGAGGCGGGAGGCGGGAGGAGGAAGGACGCGACCACACTGCTCTATTCAAAACGAATACCCAACCAAGGAGGGTTGGGAAAAACACACATTGGAAAGGTCACACGGGCAACCCCCACTAGCGCACGGGAGCGCCCAGTACAGCGCCCGGGAGCTCCAGGCTGTGGGCCTCTGGAAGGATATCGGCAGTGCTTGTTACAGAGAGCTCGAAGGGACCTGATGACACTCCGACTTGTCGTAAGTCGGGCGTGTCCTGCTACAGGAGGAAGATTCAGAATTAGTGCAAATAGTCTGGGGGCGATTCTTCTACCATGTTTGACTATTATTGAATATTTTTGGCTATTTTCAAATTCGCCCCAAAAGCCGCCTGTAGGAGGACATGCCCGACCTAAGACTTGTGCCTCAGGGCATGGTGGCGATTATTGCTAGAATTCACCACCCACCAAACCACCCCAACCCAACCCGAAGGCTCAGATTTACCCACGATTTCCAGTGGGGGGGGGTCGGGAAACATCGAAAAAACACGTGTGGAACCCTTACCCCCCCCCAACCCGAAATTCGGGTCTTCGGGTTGGGTTGGGGTGGTCTGGTAGGTAGTCAAGAATGCATCCAGGGGGGCGGCATCCCGTCCATACCACGCAAGACTCGGGTCTTGCTGGGCTTCTACTGGGGGCTAGGGGGCGTTCAACCCCTTCAGAGTTCTCCCCTCTTCGGGGCCGCTGTCGCGGGGCGCTGTATACAGTCGGGCGAAGTTCCAAGGGATTGTCGCAACGGCAGCGTAGCGTGTCGTAGCGGCCGCCGCCACGACATGCAAGCAGAAATTGTTCGGTGTGTTGTCCTGCTTGCAGCCCCCAGTGCCTCAGGCAGATCCTGGTGGACGCCGACCTGCCGGGTCTGCCCAGCGGCGTCGGGAGTGCCGACGACGAGCTCGCCGCGTGGTTCGAGGCCAGCACCGCACGAGCTGTGCAGCAGGCGAGCGTCAAGAGGCTTGTCACCTCGCCTGGTGCCTGGAAGCTGGGTACACGTGATGTGCTCCAGAGCAGGGCTGGACCTAAACGGTTCGTTTCGATTTCGTTTTGCGGTAAAGGCGGATTGAAGACAAAGTGAGGGAGAACGGAAACAAGACGAATACGAAAAACACATGTTAGGTTCAGCCCTGCTCCAGAGAAAGGGCCTCGCCTTCGAGGGGCCGACGGAACCATCATCTCTTCCAGAGTGGACGGCGGCGGATGGTCGGTACGAGGTGGGGAACCAAAGCGAGGGCCGCTCCGCCAGCGAAAGGCCGGCGGAAGCTAGTGGAAGTAAACGTCTGTCTCAAGAGGTGTAGGTTCGTGACGTTCCCATCATCAGGCGATCGCAAACATGGATTAAGGGCGTGTGGATTAACGACGGGTCCCGCTTCTATGGGAAATTGAGGATTTCCGCCGCCGAGCGAGACGGCACCGGCCGCATTTTGGGGAGGGCACCTCCCCCCATCCAAGGATTTGGCGACCGCGCGCCAAATCCATGGATCGCTAATCCATGTTTGCGCGCCCCAGACATCAGGCCGTCCAAAAACAGTAATTAACCAGACAAGTTGCCGTGATGAGGGACTCGTACCAGCACGCAATTCAGTGAGTGAACCACGTCCGTGTTCGCGGAGTGATCGACGGAGGCGCAGGGATCGGAAGAGGAGGAGGAGGAGGTGGACAGTGGAGGCAGGGAGAAGAAGAACATGCGGAGAGAGAGGAGGAGTCAGAAGCAAGCAGGATGCGCAACAGTGATCCGCGCAGGCCACTGGTGCATAGGTAATGAATTCTGGCAAGCGAGGAAGTAGCCGAGCGATGGCCAGTTGGAGGCACTGGCCCCGTCGTAGGTCCGGGGGGGGGGGGAAGGTCGACGAGGGGGGGTGGGGCAGAGAGGAGGAGGGGGAGGAGGAGCAGGAGGGAGGAGGATGAGGAGGAGGAGGAGGAGGAGGAGGAGGAGGAGGGAGGAGGCAGGAGGTTACACCTACCCCCCCCCGCCCCCACCTACCCGAGTGCGCCCCTGCCAAGTACATTCCGAAGGAGAACCCAGCCGCGGCGACGAGGGCGCCCTAGGAATCGCCCAAACACGGAAGGAAGCCGAACAGCTTCTATCTCAGAACATGTTGAAGGTGGTGTTTGTATGTGTTGTATCACGTTTCATCGGTTTTTGAAACGTTTCATAAGTTGTTCGAAGTTTTGTATAACATGTCCTACCTGGTACACGGCTGTTATAACCGCTTATAGGTATGCACAAGTATCTTATGAGTGTTTGCGCAAGTATCTTATGAGTGTTTGCACTGTTTGCCCATGGCACCTCTGAATTAAAGTACAAGCGATATATTACTTCAGCAATTCTCTGTTCGTGGATTTATCTTCCGTGAATGTATCATTAGGTTATATGAAGTTGTTCAGCTTCTACCATAACCTACTGATGTTGTAACGTATCCTGCCGAACTTCCTTTCCATTGTATAAATATGCAAGAGCACGGGAACAGAAAGTAAGACCGCCCCCTATGCTCCGGCGCCCGCCGGCCCAGCCGCGTCGGGCACCAATGCTGGCTGGATTGATCATGACAAATCCAATCGTGGGCAGACGAATCTTGGGCCGATGAGCCTGTTATAGCGAGATCGGCTGTAGAGCCGGGTGGCGGCCGCGCGACCGATGGCGGCGGCCCCAGGCCGGCCGTGGGCGGCAGCTACGACGCGACGGTCGACTGCGAGGACAATATTGAAAATGGAGAAATTCAAGGATACTATGTACACGTATCTCGTCATCAGCGAGTCACTGGCCATAACAAAACGTGGCAGTGGTTTAGTTTGAACTGAATACAACGACGAGTTCAAACGTGTCTTTGGGATGCCAAGTACCTTGCCAGAGCCTCCACCGCCGCCTACGTCGAAGGCGAGGCCACACGAGAAGGGCCAGGGCAAGAGTGAGCCAAGTAGCTGGAGTTCAAGCAGAAGAGAAAACAGACATGACAACTACTCCAGAGATCAGTACCAGTGGAACTGGAGTAACAGAGACACGTGGGATGACTCTCGTGACAAAAGAAGTCGTTGGCAAAGGTGACGCAGCACAGAAGAACCAGTACGGCATAGTCGATGGTGGTCCAAACTACATCATGGAGCGGGTGCACCAGGTGTGCGCGGGCATTGTGGCCTGAGCTGGGACATATCAGCTCAGGCGGGGAACGTAGGGTCTCTTCGGCCTTCTGCCTCATGGCAACCACCGCTGAGCGGCAAGATGTTTTTGGGGTTCGCTCCGGTGGCTGTACATATGTGCAGGTCAGGTGGGTTGGGGGCGGGGCGGCTCTACGGACCCCGCCGCGGGGGGAGTCAACGCACCCTTTCCACACCACCATCCTTTCGCCCTGTCTGCTCCTCTGCCTTGCGCGCGCTGCCTGATGAACTGACTGCTTCTGCTTCCGCAGCTATACGATTTTGGCTCTAGGGAAACGGAAAAGGAGCGAGCCTGCGGCGCGCGCGCGTGCGTCGGCCGGCGGGGCGGCCTCCTCCTTTCAGTGCTAGTTCAGTGTATGTTTGACGGTATTATCCCTTCTTCCCCATGTCACCGGCGGAGCCCACTGACCATGATATACTATCGGAACATATTGCAGGGGTTATGGATATCCAGGCATAAGACTTCCTTGGGCGCCCCTGGAGCCTCCAGGTAGATTCCAAGAGGGTCACGGATGGGCCAAGATGGCTTCTGAACAGCTCAATATGGCTTCAAGGCGGCCCAAAAGGCCCCCCAGACAGTTTCAGGAGGACCACCAAGAGGGCCCCAATAGGCAAACATCGCTTCCTTTCTGTAAGGGGAATGCGCATTTTCGCACGTTGACTTGTTTGGTTTTCTCAGCACGACAACGATTTCAGAGACCCCAGCGATCTCTCCAAGACGGCCCACGAGGCCGCCAGGGGGGCCCCAAGACGGCCAAAGAGGGCATCAAGACGGCCCCAGAGGCGCCCAAGACGGCCCAACAACGCCCCAAATGGGCCCCAACAGGGGCCCAAGAGACTCACCTGGCGGTTGTCTGTCGTAGAACGCCAGATATAACATAGTATAAGCGGCGTCAGGGGGCCCGCAGCCCAGGGCCGCACATTTTTCCCAAACTCCCCCCCCCCGTAACCGAATTTGCCCCATGGGCTGCGGGGGGCCATTTTCGGAACCCCGGAAGTTTATCAGCTTCCCCGAGGCGTCCACCCAGGCTTCTGGAGACGGCAAGAAGCCGCCAAGACGGCCCAAGAGCGCTCCGAGCCGCCCAAGATGGCTCCATGATCGACCCAAGAGGCTCCCAAGATACCCCAAGGTCGCTCCGCGAGGACCTCCAAGAGAGCCCCAAAACGCCCAAATCATGGATTTGCCTTATGTGTTTCCAGCACGTGTTGCTTCTCACGTTTTCGAGTGGCCGACACTCCAAGACTGCCCAAAAAGCCTCCAACGTCGCCCCAAGAGGTCCCCTAGAGGCATCCGAAACAGCCCACGAGGGCCGCATGATCGACCCAAGATTCCCCAAGACTGCCCAAGAAGGCCTGAAGAGGGCCTGAAGACGGCTCCAAGATGGGCCCAAGAGAGGGAACGCGAACCGACCTTTCGAGTTTCCCGCCCCCGGAGACCCACAAGAGGCCAAGTGGCTCCAAGAGGCTCCAACGAGGCCCCAAAGATGCTTAAAAGAGGCCCGACAAGCTCCACAACGCCCCCGTGGAGGCTTCAAACCTGCTTTCAAAATTCCCCCCGAGAGGCATCTCACGATATCATCCCACCGACAATCCGAGAAGCCTCTAACCCACAACCCAGACACGGTTGCGGGATGGGCCCAGAATTGCGACCTTTGGTTCGCATGGGGGCTGGGGGGGCCTTGAAGGCTCCAAGAGGGACCCCTCCAGAGGCTCCCAAGCTGGCCCAAGATATTCCCAGGAGGCTCCTGAGAGCCCCCCAAATGCCCGAACAGAGGCGCCCTCTGCCCCAAGAGGCGCCCAGGAGGCCCCAAGAGACTCCCAGGAGGCCTCCACGACGCCCCAACAACCACCAAAAAGGCCCCAGAAAGACCCGAGAAACTCCCGAGAAAACCCCCCCGAGCTCGCATGAGGCCTCTATACAGACCCTCAGAAGCCCGCCAGAAGCTCTTCGTCCTCCATGATCCGGAACAGCCTTTCGGAACACGTGGCCTTGGCTGCACCCCCCGACCCGCCCACCCAATGTCGAGGCACGAGGACGCCCCCATGACGCCCGTAAGACGCTGCGGAAGCGCCTCTCCCGCACACGTGCTCAGGCGACAATGATGTTGATCGTCGGTGGTCCGTCGTCGTCGTCGTCGTCGTCGTCGTCGTCGTCGGTCGTCGTTGGTACGCTACAGGCCAAACCCTTCCTTGAACTTCGCAGGATCCGCCCGAAAATCACGGATGGGTGAAAGGGAGGAACCCAGAAGACCACATGGAAAAGGTCCCATGGAAATTAACACCGTCTTCGGAGTCGACTAGAACCGAAGCGCGCGCGAAGCGCGCGCGTGGTTCTAGTCAAATGAAGATGCAGGGTCAGCGCACGGGCTCTCTGGGTTAACTCCAGCGGCCTTTCTGTGCGTTAACCGCCGAGGGTCTTTCTTTTAAGAGAAAACAGCCGCAACTGTGGGAAACTAGCGACCTCATTGACGGGCTGGGGCCCCGACAACAACGGCAATTATTTGTTCCCCGCCGCCGCCGTTGACGACAACACCGACGACGACGACGACGACGAGGAAGAGGAGGGGGAGGGGGAGAAAGAAGTAGGAGCGTGAGAGGGGATAGTAATTTGGATGAGGGTGCATAAGGATCATGATGTGGAGGCATGGGGAGGAGTGATTTGGACGATGGGCGCGGACGAAGAGGAAGAGGTGCGCGGCGAGGGGGCGAAATGAGCGAGGTGGATGGAGTTGGAGGGAGCGCCAGGAGGATAACGTGGAGGATAGGCAGTCAGGACGAGGATGAAGTAGAGCAATGATTGAAGAGAATGGCTCCTCTGTTTCGTCCTCCTCGTCACTGTGATCGTTCGGTTCGCCCGCCGTTCCCCCAGATCCCATCGGTTCGTCATGTTTTTTTCTCGTCCTCCTCATCGTTGTCGTCCTGACTGGCATGTGCATCGACTTCCCTGTTCGTGGTCATTGAGCGGCTTCGGCATGGCACTGATTTGGCGCCGGATATTTCTGCATCTGTTGTTGTTAGGTATGTTTCCCAGCGATGGGTGCCACATTGAACCGTACCTACACATGTCTAAGCATATAGACTCGTATCTTAAAAAGACCCCGCATCTAAAATGAGTAACAAAACATACGCCCCGCATCAACACACAGTAAGACACGTATCTAAACGCATCTATTTTCGAATGAGATTTATTCGTAACTAATTTTCTCAAGGAGGACGCTGTAAAACACATATGGTTCAGGTGGGAATTTTAGATACCGCGCGGTCCTTCAGAACGCAGCTGCCACCGGGGAAATGAGCAACCAAAATACATATTTAGATGTGCAATCCAGGATCCCTTCAGTGCAAGCACTGACTGGGGAATCTCCGCTGGGACCCCTTCAGTGCAAGCGCTAGGAATATCCGCTAGGACCCCTCCAGTGCAAGCACTGATTGGGGAGTATCCCGATTGGGATCCGGACTGTCTGCGAAACTCTCGGGGCCTCTCTCGGGCTGTCCTGCTCCTCTCTCTCTCCCGCCGCCGCCCGCCCCCTCCACAGAGATTTGATGCGTCAAAATTGTAGGCGCCAGCGATATCGTTCGGCGGTCCACCCCCTCCAGACATGTATAGCCCATTCTTAAGTCGGGCCTGTTCCTTTACAGGGGGAATATTCAAACATAGTGACCAAATAGTTTGGGGGTGTTGTTAACGTTTATGTATACAGATCTTCCGAGTATGCTCGGAATCTGTTCCGTGCAGTTTTATTTATTTTTCGTCCACAATCCGCTTGTAGGAGGACACGCCCGACCTAACCCTATCTTGAGTTCCATCGGCGTCATCCCAACATACTAATACTAAGTGTGCGTCGCCCCTCCACCCCCGCCAGGGGCGACGCGCGCGCCGAGAAATCTTTCAGTATAAGTTCCGTGGCGGGCGTTTTCTACACTACAAGATCGTGGTATTATATGTTCGGGTCGGACACGCGCTTCCCAGGATGACATAGAATATTAGAATGTCCTTGAGCGTCGCGTGCCAAGGACAACGGGGGGGCATCGATAATTGCACCCCTCGGTGACACACACACACACACACGAAACCCAGACCCCCGACGTCATGATTGCTTCATAATGTCGACTCGCAGAGGTCTCAACCCTTTCCCCAGGACCAGTTGTTCATCCCGAGTCGTTTCCCCACGGCCCAAAGGCCCAGCGAAGGCCCCCGGAGGCCGAAAATAAAGAACAGCCATCCGTCATGATTTTTTCATGACCCGAGGGAGCCCAGTGACAACAGGGGGGGGCATCGATAACTGCACTCCCCAGTGACACCCTTTTTGGCGTCGCGGCCCCGCGCGCTGCGACGGGGCGTAGAAATTCGAGTACAAGCAGCGTAGCGCGCGTATACGCCCAGCCGAGCTCTCAGGGACCATTTGGGGTTTCGCAGCCAGCAGCAGCCATCACCATCCGGGCCTGGATGGCGGGGAGGGGGCATGTGCGGACGAAGCTACAGCAGCTACGATGAGGGTGGAAGGTGACATAAGCCAACCGGGACTGGATGGCGAGGAGAGCGAGTAACCCGGATCGGTCTTTAGTTTTGATCCGCCCCCTGTTTTTCCTGGCGGGGAATAATAATCGTTTTTCCTCTTCCTTCGGTTCCTCCTTCTCCTCCTCCTGCTCCTCCTGCTCGTTTTGCTCCTCCGTCGTTGTTGTTGCGCGGCGGGTGCCGCGAGTGAAAGATGATTTTCCGCTACTGGCGGGGCCCAGTCCGTCAAGAAAGGCGCCGAAACGAACATTAGTTTCCATTGTTTGGGGGGGTTCTAAAGCCCTGTCTTGATTGACCGCCCCCCGGCGACACACACACACACACACGCGCACACACACGCACACCCGCACACGCGCCCACACGCGCACGAAGAGGAGCGTGCCCCCGCCCGAGGCCCACACGGCTCGCGTCCGGGCGCACTTCGCCGGCCGGGAGGCCGAGGCGTTTCTGTCGCGCCGCGAGGGCGGGGGGGGAGGAGCCCTTCTCTCTCTCTCTCTTTCTTTCTTTCTCTCTCTCTCTCTCTCTCTCCCCCTTTCCGTTGCACCTTGAGCGGTGTACAGTTGCAGTAGCAGCAGTAGCTCCAGTTCGGTGTTTCGGATTCTTGCTGTGTGTGTGTGGAGCCTGGAGCCCCAAGGCTTCTGGGGGTCCTTACGGGACTTCGAGTGCGTCGGAGCCGACAGCCATCTCTCCTCGATGGGGCATCTGGGGGCTTCTTCTTGTTGACGGGTCCTGCGTTGGGCATCCTGTTGCAGAGCTCTTCTGAAGTGCGCGGTGTGTTGCCATGGCTGACCCCTGGGCCCGTGCTTTATGTGAAGTCTCTGCCCCCGTATGGCCTCGGTTCTTATGTGTAGTCTTCTGTGGGATAGGGTAGGCTCTAGACTCGAGACGGTAAGGCAGATGTTTACAGTAATTGTAGTATGTAGTGACGCAATCTTCCTAAGGTCTCGGTTTCTGTTGAGTCTCCCGAGCATGTGCATTCTGGTCGTTTGCTACACGGGTTTGCCATTGGTTGTGGTAGGTTGCCTTCACTCGCGAAAGTCGATGCGCGCAGAGACCTTCAGGGGACTGGGTTTTTTCCAGAGGGGCTTTTCAGGCGCCTTGGAGTCGGTTTGGCGGATGCAGGGGCCAGGATGGCCGTCTTGCGTCATATTTGTTTTGATCCGACGCTCATGGACGGGCTCAGCTGGAAAACTAGAGTCTCGAGGGCCGTGCCATCCGTTGGTGCCGCCGTCCTTCCCCTCTGGCCTCGTGTGGAGTTTCTGGGGGTGGCGCGCGTTCCTCCACACCTCCCCCCCGGGGCCGCGGGTCGGCCTAGGCACCAATGAGAACGCATGAGCGGAGTCTGGGGATGCAGGGTGTGTCTGCGGGGCTCCATCGGTGCTCAGTGCCCGCAACCTGGGGGATGGCAGGGACGCAGTCGTCTTGACTCTGCTGTGCTCGAGCTTCTCGGGCACAGAGTCATTGCTCTAGCATGCTCTGAGGATTCGTTCCCTTGTCCTTGCGCTGTTTGCAAGTTCTACAGCTCGGGGGCCCACTTCACAGGGCTGGGCCGTTACTGTAGTCCTCCCACAGTCACGGGGGCCAGACATTGGAGGAAGATTTTGGTCGGGAAGCACCCCGATAAAGGGGGGTGCTGTGGTGGATACCAATTTCAGTGTCAACTTCACGGTTTGATCGTACCTTCGTGGCCAGCCATGGTGCTTTTTTTGTGGTTGGCCATGCCTTGAGGATTGAGGCATGCCGTTCGACGGCAGAAACAAAAGGAGGAGGAGGAGGAGGAGGGAAGGGGGAGTATTAGGAGGAGGGGGAAGGGGAGGAGGAGGAGTAGAAGGAGGAGGAGCAGGATCAGGAGGAATCAGAGAAAGAAGATGAGGAGGAGGAGGAGGAGGACTAGGAGGAGAAGGAGGAGGAGGAGGAGCAGGAGGAGGAGGAGGAGGTGGCGCTCCAACCCGCGAGGTGTTCATGGAGTTTTCCCTGGAGGAGCCGGGGGGCAGACCCGAACATACGAGACTTGTTGCGTGTGGGCTCGAGACTCGTTCCCTCCGTTCCTCCCCGACTTTTTTTATCTTCCCTGTCCAGACGTAAATCGTGAACTGTTCATTGCGCGGCCCTGGGACCTTTCGGCCTCCCCCCCACAGGGGCTGAGGCCGCCTTTCCGTCCACGATCGTTTTCTCATGGTGCCGCAACCTGGAGGCGGCCCCCGGAATCAGAAAATTGTTGGTAATATTGGCCATTGTTCTTGTGGAAACGTTGAAGGCCTGTGTTTCCCCGACCCGCCTGACCGCTCGTGCTGATCATTCCTGGCTGTTCTTGCCCCTCCCAGACCCTGCCTGTGCCCTGCCGACCTTCTTATATCCTGATCCTCCCCGACCACCTCAGCCGATCCCCATTCGGTCCCTCGATCGAGCTTCGAGGACCGAGGAACGAGGTGGTTCAGCGCGTTTTTTGCTGATTTCCGGTGACCGTCAAGAACCTGCGGGAACTATCAGATTCTTCCGATGACATCTGACGGCGCCACCGTTTTCCCTCCTTGTGACCGCGTCTCGCTGATATGTAGCACCCCGCAGTTGCGGATAAGAGTGAGTGGGCGGGCGCGGGGTGAGTCGCGGGTGGGTCGCGGGATGGGTCGCGGGTGTGTCGCGGGTGGGTCGCGGGGTGGGTTGCGGGGTGGGTCGCGGGTGGATCGCGGGTGGGTCGGGGTCGGATCGCGCGTGGGTCGCGGGTGGGTCGCAGGTGGGACGACGATAACAAACAAACAATAAACAAAAAAACAAACAAGCACAACAACAGCAGCAACAACAACGCCAACAACAACAAACATTTGAAGATAGTTTGTTATTACTGTATTTACTCGCGTGCCATTCAACACGTATATTCCAAACCCTCGATACCCGCCCCCCTTCGTCTTCGATCGTACCCCCTTGAGACTGTATCTCTCTTACGTGCAACGTGCATTTCGAGCGGCCCCTAAGGCAGGGGAAGAGAGGACGGATGCATGGAACGGACACCGGGCAGGCGGGTTTCTGAAGCGTGCGTCCTGCATGAATTGCTTGGTTATCTCGAACGATAGCGCGACTTCAACATAAGTCGTGGGATAATTCACAGCGAGAGCGCGATTCCTGAGTGTCGAGAGCGCGGCGTCTGTATACATTGGGAGGGAGTCCTGTAAAAGTGTGAGGAAATTCCGCGCGAGAGCGCGATTTGGGAATACATTGTGAGGAGGTGTCAGGCGGAAGCTGTTGTTGTTGCAAGTCGGGGGCAAGGGGCCCAGGTTGGTAACTCTTCATTTTTCTTTGTAAAAAGCCGGGTGCGAGCCTCGGGAGAAGCAATTTAATTGAAAAAGCAGCGGTTACCGTAGAGGGGGGATCAACAATAGTTTTTTCTCGAAATGGGAATCCAACAGCAACAGCATCAACAACAACAACAATAACAGCAATCGTTTTAATTTTGCTCGTTTTTATCTGCTCACGTGCCATTCAACAAGTTGATCCCAAACCCTCGACACCCGCCCTCTTCGTCTTCGATCGTACCGCACTCGGGAGCCTGTCTTTCATGCCTGCAACGTGTATTTCGTGCAGCCCTTAAGGCAGGGGGAGAGAGGACGGATGGAAGGAAGGGGCAGGGGGAAGGGAGGAGGATAGGGCACAAGAGAGAGTAGCAGGAAAGGGGATTAAGTAGGAGCAGAAAACACGTGGCATAATCAGATCGGCAGATCGGAACGGGTAGACCCTAACGGGCGGGTCGGCAAGGCGGGCCCAGGCGGCCAGGTCGAACAGGAGGGTTACTGAAGCGTGCGTCATGCATGAATCGCGAGGCAGTCTCGAGCGATAGCGCGATTCCAACAACAATCGCAAGAGAATCCGCAGCGAGAGCTTGACTCCTGAGTGTCGAGGGCGCGGCGTCTGAATACAATGCGAGGAAGTCCCACGCGAGATTCCTGTATACGTTGTGAGGAAGTTCCGCGCGAGAGCGCGATTTGGGAATGTGAGGAGGTATCTGGCGGGGGCCGTTGCTGTTGTTGTAAACGGGGGGCCAGGGGCCCCGATGGGTGACTTTCCATTTTCCCTTGTGAGAAACAGGGTGCGAGCCTCGGGGTAACCATTCAAGTTGAAATAAGAATGCTTACCGTGAGTGGGGTGATCAACAATAACAGTTCGTTTTAAGTGAGAACCCATAACTAACAACCACAACAATCATTTTAGCGGTGTTCGCTTTTATCTGCTCGCTCGCGTGCCATTCAACACGTATATCCCAAACCCTCGAGATCCGCCTTCTTCGTCTTCGATCGTACCCCGTTGGGTTTTTTCCTTATCTGCAATGTGTATTTCGTGCAGCCCTTAAGGCAGTGGAAGAGAGGATGGATGGAAGAAGGGGACGAGGGGGAGGGAGCAGGATTGAACACGGGAGAGATTAGCAGGATGGGGGGCTAGAAGCAGAAAACATGTGGCAGAACCAGACGGGTAGATCGCGCGGGCAGGCCTTACCAGGCGGGCAGGGAAGGCGGGCCCAGGCGACCAGGTCGAGCAGGCGGGTTGGTGAAGCGTGCGTCATGCATTAGTCGCGAGGCAGTTTCGAACGATAGCGCGCTTCCGAAGTAAATCGCAAGAGAAACCGCAGCGAGAGATCCTGAGTGTCCAGGGCGCGGCGTCTGAATAAATTGCGAAAAAAATCCCACGCGAGAGCGCGATTCCTGCATACCTTGTGAGGAAGTCCCGCGCGAGAGAACGATTTTGGAATACACTGTGCGAGTGAATCTGGCGGGAGCCTTTGTTGTTGTAAGCCGGAGGCCAACAACCAAATTCTGAGGCCCACTACTTCATTGGAAAAAAACACCATGTGCCCTGGAGGGGGGATCAACAATACATACTACACTACAACTACAGCTACAAGTACAAAAGCAGCAGCAGTTGCAGCAGCAGCGGTAACAACAACACCGCGAATCAGTTTAAGACGGTTTCCGCTCTTATCTGCTCGCGTGCCACTCAGCCCGTATATCCCAAACCCTTGATACCAGCCCTCTTCGTCTTCGATCGTGCCACATTGGGGGCCTGTCTTTCATACCTGCTACGTGTATTTCGTGCAGCCCTTAAGGCAGGGGAAGAGAGGACGGATGGAAGGAAGGGGCAGGGGGGAGGGAGGAGGATGGAGCACGCGAGAGAGAGAGAGTAGCAGGAGGGGGGCTAGGAGCAGAAATCATGTGGCAGAACCAGACGGGCAGAGCGGACGGGTAGGCCCTAACGGGCGGGCAGGCAAGGCGGGCCCAGGCGGCCAGGTCGAGCAGGCGGGTTGGTGAAGCATGCGTCACGCATGTGTCGCGAGGCAGTCTCGAGCGACAGCGCGCTACCGAAGTAAATCGCGAGAAAGCTGAAGCGAGAGCATCATTCATGAGTGTCGAAGGCGTGGCGTTTGCATAACTTGCGAAACAATCCCACGCGAGAGCGCGATTCCTGCATACCTTGTGAGGAAGTCCCGCGCGAGAGAGCGATCTGGGAATAAACTGTGAGAATGAATCCGGCAGGAGCCTTTGTTGTTGTAAGCCGGGCGCCAGGGGCCCAGTTTGGCGACTCGTGATTTTCTGTTTGTAAAGAACAGGGTGCGTAGCCCAGGAGAAGGACTGCAATTGAACAATGCAATGGTTTCCGCGCAGCGTGGTTCAACAGTCATTTTTTATGAAGTGGAAATTCAACAACAATCCGCACCGTGGAAGCCCATTTCAGCCACGCACCCCGGGACAGTGAATGACCGTTCGGCCTCCTCATTCTGATGAATATTAATGTCGCTCTTTCCTGTCTGACCTGTGTGGCCACCTCTCTTCCCCATCTGTTCCCCGTCCATCCTGGCGGTGGCATGAGATCCGCATGGTATCCGCACGCGCCCCAGTGGCGACAGGCACTCGGAGCTCCTTATCCTATACCTGATGGCTGTCAGAGCTGGAGACATGGGGGCCCCGGCGTCGTCGAACAGTCGGCCGAACGGCAGTGGACGAGGAGCAGAAGCAGACGATGTTTGCACGCCTCCTGCTTCTGTCAGGCGGCACCTCTCGCGGTCCCGAGCGCCCCCGCCTGATCCTGGTGCGCGGGCGGAGGTCATGAGTGCAGCTCCCGCCAGGGACAGCTGTCGCGCTCTACGCCCTCGCCCCGCAGCTCGGACCGCTGTCCAGAGACATACAGTCAGAATCCTCCGCCCATGGCTCACGACTTCTTCCTTCGCCAGCCCTCTGCTGCCCTCTCTTCTCCCACACGGAGAAGGAGACAGAAAGAGAGAGAGAGAGAGAGAGAACGAGAGAAACAGAGAGAAAGAGAGAAAGGAAGATGACGCACTTGGACTCAAAGCGCGCGGGCGAGGCGGAGATGGAGAGAGAGAGAGAGAGAGTGCGCGACGCGTGCGTACATACGGAGGCCGGCCGAGAGGAGCAGAGCATTGGCGCACAGGCACCACCGCCAGGTGCCCACCGCCCTCCCGCCTCCCGCCCGCTTCACCCCCCCCGCACGCCGCGCCGAGCCTGCGCGCCGCCCGCCGCCCCGTTGGCTCCGGGCCTCGGGGCGCGCAGGGCGCCGCGGGGGGGAGAAGCGGCCAGGCGCCCTGGGCCTCGGCGGTGGGTCCCCGCGCCGTGCCCAAGTCCGTGCCTCGGTGCGGATCGTCTGCGCGCCTCGTCTCCGTCGTCGTCGTCGTTGTCGTCGGCGTCGTCGTGGTCGTGGTGCGTGTTGCTCTGCTCGGGACTTGTTTCCCTTGTGCAGTGGCCACCACCACCACCACCCCCCAGCCAGGAGGGCGACGAGCGCATCCGCGACCGCCTGCAGCGGTTCCTGGGCCGGCCCCTGGAGTGGGGGCGGCATAACGAGACCACGTGGGCCTGAAAGCAGGCAGGCCCAAGCAGGATGAGGACGGATCGATCAAGAGTCAAGTCGGGCGTGTCCCTCTACAGGAGGAATATTATACAAAAGTAGTCATTCAATTGTCTGGGGACGGTGTTCCAACTATGTTTGGCTAATTTGTTGTACGAAGTTGTTGACTTGTATACTATATATATATATATATTCCGTCCGTCCAAGACCCGCGCCTCTAGGAGGACATGCCCGTCCTAAACCAAGAGCGTTCCGGAACGCTCTCGGAGCGCCGTGGAGCGCTCTCTCGGGAGCGGCCAAGAGGTGGGTGATGACTAGGAGGGGGTGGATATCATGGCGTGGGCCACGATTTTTCCTCGGATCTCATGGCGCCTCTTCTTATTTCATCGCGTCCCTGGCCCCGCCCCTGGGCCGCGCACATGCCGCCGGCCATGATTTGCGCCCCCCCCCTCTTGGACGCCCCCCTCTTGGCCGCCCCCGACTCTCGAGCGGCCGCGGCGCCCGATGCGTCCTCCGAGCCCGCTGGCCCTGGGAGCTTCCCGAGCTGTCGGGGCCCCCCGAACGGGGCCCTGGCGCGCCCGAGAGGGCTGCAGCCGTCGGTCGGAGCACTCTCCACCAAGTGTTCTCTCCGGGTGGAAGCTCCAAGTTCTTGTGATCTTTTTTGTTATTCTTCGTTATGCCGATCGGCGCGGGCCCTCGCACACCCCCCTCCCCCCCCCCTGGAGCAGATCTTGGCTGTTTTTCCCTACCTAGGCTCTGCCTAGAAGGGTTCTTACTCTCTTAGCTTAAAGGGGCCGGGCAGTGCAAAGCGCCCCGGGCGGTTCCCCCAGTCCCTTGGGAGCGGTTCCCCCCAGTCCCCTGGGAGCTTTAGCTTTAGCTTTAGCTTTAGCTTTAGCTTTAGCTTTAGCTTTAGCTTTAGCTTAGCTTTAGCTTAGCTTAGCTTGAGCTTAGCTGTAGCTTAGCTTTAGCTTAGCGTTTAGCTTAGCTTTAGCTTAGCTTTAGCTTAGCTTGAGCTTAGCTGTAGCTTAGCTTTAGCTTAGCTTTAGCTTAGCTTTAGCTTAGCTTTAGCTTAGCTTTAGTTTAGCTTTAGCTTAGCGTTACTGTTACTAATAATGCTGCTTTCCTAGGGGTTCCAACTCCTAGGTAGGGTCGCACTGGGATAATCTTATTTTTGGCACCTGTTTGGAGCAGGTGGAGTTTCTCCCCCATGATGGACGCACGGTTGCAAACAGTCGCGCCAAGCAGAGGTCCGGAGCCACCCCCACCCTCCCCTCCCTCCCATCCGCACAACAATGCCGAAACGCCGAATAAGAAAACGCGCACCATGTGTTCTCTCCGGGTGGAAGTTCCAAGCTCCTGGTGAGCACCAGAGAATTTCGAGCACCACGAAAGCATCGAGATTGGAGGATGTTCACGTGTCGGGCCCTGTGAGGCGATGCTCGTTCGACACTTCGCTAGCGTTTCGGATAGAAATCATTTCGATACATATTCTGGGCGTTCGAGATTATCTCTGGGATCTTATCCTTAAGTGCGATGGTGACAACGTAAGCTTTAGGGCCCCGAGCTTACCCCCCTCCGCGTGCAGAGCGCTCTCTGAGCTTTCTCTGGAGCGCTCTGGAGAGGCCGCGGCGCCCGAGGCGCTCCGGACCCGCCGGCTCTCAGAGCTTTCTCGCGCCCCTCCTCCTCCTCCTCCTCCTCCTCCTCCTCCTCCTCGTCGTCCTGCTTCGTCCTGCTTCGTCCTGCTCCTCCTCCTCCTCCTCCTCCTCCTCCTCCTTGTCCTGCTTCGTCCTGCTCCTCCTCCTCCTCCTCCTCGTCCTCCTCCTCCTCATCCTCATCCTCATCCTCATCCTCATCCTCATCCTCATCCTCCTCCTCTGCGATCTGCTCTCGTCCTGCTTTCGTCCTGCGAGCGCCGCGCTCGGGGGCGGGCCCTGCCGTGGGCCCGGTGCGGGCAGCGGCGGCGGTCGCGGGCCTGCCGAGAGGGTGCCGCTGCCCCCCAGCGGCACTGCGTGGGCGCGCGGGGCCCGCGCCGTCCGCGGAGCCCAGCGCCGCCCGCTGGCGGCTCAAAGATTCACGACCTCAGTTGCCCTGATACGCCCGTGGAGAAAGTCTGGCTCCACGTCGAGCCGCATCCTCGACACATCGGCGATGCGGAGCGACTCTTCGAACCCCATCTGCTCGGGCCGCCTCTGCGAGGCCTGGAGCCTGGTCGTTCCCGACGTGGGCACGAGAGGCCAGCTCAGCTGCACTGATGCGCCCGTGTTGGAACGCAACACGTGCCGTGTTCAACACGTCCGTGTTAGCATGCTGCTCGTTGGCTCGGCAGGTGTTGGTCCACGTTTTGGCGACAGTATCGCCTACGTTTCCAGTACGTGTTGAGCTCCGCGTTAACACGCTACTTGCTGCGTGTTGCGTATCGGGGCAGCTAAATTCATGAAATGGCATCTTCCTCTCTTCACGCTTGTGCGGCAGGCTTGTTGCAGGCTACGGTTCAGTGCATGAGGTTGCATATCGCAGATCGGTTCGTGTATAGTGTTCCCGATTGGCCTGGCGACCTTTCGATTCGCACAGCGATCGAGGCTGGGTCAGGTGTAGATCTGTGGTCGCGCAACCAACAAGCATGAGATCTGCACTCACATCTTGGCGCCCGTCGATGTCTCGGGGTGGAATTCCGCGGGGAGTTGTGGGCGAGTGCTGTCGGATGGAGGTCTCATCTCGAACGGGGGGCCCCCGGGGGGGTCTGACAGCCCTCGCCCACGCCTGTGCCGCCTTCGTCTCCCTGCCCTGCCCCGCTCTCCTCGCCCCTGGCCTCCTGAGGTATCCGTGCCGTCCCGGCCCTGGGCAGCGGGCGCCGCAGCAGGAAAGCCAGACCCAAGGGTGCCTCCCTTTCCCCCAGGGCAGTTTTTTTTGTTCAGAGTGGCCTCTCGCAGTTCTGGGGCCCAGGAAGGGCACCGGGATGCAGGAGCGTGCAGACATTGTAGATGGGTCTTTCCAATGCCTCTTCTCTTTCTGGTGATTCATCGCCTTTCCCATGCAATTGTGTCAGCTCCTCTTCCTCCTCCATACGTCCTCCCGCTTCTGCTTCTGTTCTGCCGCTTCTCTGCTCCGCGTATCCACCGCATGCGAATGCCAATGTCCGCCGGTTTGGGAGCAGTGCTCGGGGCGCCCAAGGGCCTTGGCGGTGGATATGGACACAGGTCAGTGTTCGAGGGCAGGGGCATGTCTTCCTCGACCATTCCCTCGTTTCTAGGGACGGGATTGCAGAAGGGTTGAACCAGGTGGCTTTCTCTGCGGTGTGTGTGTGTGTGCGTATGTGTGCGTGTGAATGTGTGTGCGCGCGCGTGTATTGCATTAGCGGGCGCAGCACACACATATGCAGGCCCACTGGGAGCTTGAGCACGAGAACGTGGGGCGAAAGAGTCACGAACGCGATACTTGTCTTGCTCTTTGGCCAAGGGTGTGCCGATCACAGCCTTGTATGCGCGACGTTCTGTCTTTGCAGCGGCATGGTGGACGCATTGAAAGGATGGAGAGATCGGGAACCCAGTTGTCGATTCAGCATCATCTCGATGTTGTCGCTCTCGTCAGGATGCCCATCGCTGCCGCAGCACACTGCGGGCAGGTCTGCAGCGGCGAGCGTGAGGGATCCGGAGGGAGGGCGCCGGGGGAGCGGCGGGGGAGCGGCGGGGACGAGCGGGGGGAGACGAGGGAGGCTCGGCACCGCTCGGACGTGTGCATGTTGTTCTCGGTGGGAACACCATCGAGGAGCATTCTGGATCATCTTGCGAAGAAGAAGGGCGCGACGCCGAAAAAGGCACGGGGAATAGACGTCCGAGCGATGACAGGGAGGAGAGGTGCAAGATGTGTGTTCTCTGATGTGCTGTTGCAGTTCCTGCGGTGGTCTATCCGCTACTTTTCTGCTGTTTGCAACGCTTCCCCGTCGGCTTGTGCTGGTTAACCCCTGCGGACCTCCCTGGTGCAGCCACCAGCCGCGCGCAGGTATGAGACCACTGCGCGTGCAGATTTGGACAAGATTAGGCCATCTGACCCCCTCGCTCCCTGCACAAGCATGGGACAGTGATGGTGTGCACGTTTGTTTTCCAGGCAGTTTCGTTGCGAGTCATCGCTGCTCGTGGTCCTTCCCCGCAAGTGTGTTTGCACATGGAGTTCGTGACGCAGGCGCAGTTGGAACTGCTAGGCGCCCGGGTGTGCTCAAAGCGCGCCGTGGCCGACGTGCTTTCACGTTCACGATCGGGCTCCAGACCCTGCTCGTCACGCCATGAAGCCGCCACGACGTCTGAGATCCAGAGCTCTCGGCCCTTTTGACCCCGCGACCCGCCCCCCCCCTCCCCCAGGTCAGAACTCCGCCCACGGCGGTGGCCACCACGTCCCCTGCATTTCTCCGCCCCCTCCACGCCCCACATAGCGTTCGCTGTAAGCACTCTGCATCGCCCTGCAATGGTGGTGATTCTCCTGGCGCGGATTTTCTCTGTCCCGCTGAACCTCACCTTCTGCGTCTGCGTCTCGAGATGTCATCCCGACGCAGGCGATCTCCATCTCGCTGACACTCTTACGTGCCGACTTTGCTGCCGCTTGCTGCCCCACCGGTAGCGAATCCGAGATGTTCCGAATCCGAGGGAGTCTCCGCCGCGCCGCAGATAACTGTAGACTTTCATTTGCCGCCTGTCGATGCATGTGACCAGCATCTTTCTGGCGCGTTCCCAAGAGCGCGAGACTTCACTTCGGACAGACCAGAGATCCTCACCTTTCGCGCTTGCTGATCTGCGACGCGCCTCTGCGTGAACTATGTGTGCCGGAGCTGCAACCTTGGCGCGCGAAGAAGACGGCCCCTTTATTAGCAGAGGTAGAGCGAGCATGCGCGTCTTCAGCGCGCCTGGCCCGAGCTCGAGTTCTCCATGGTTCTCACCTCTACAGTCAGACCGCATAATAAGGATGGACAGCCTTCCCAAGGGTATCCTTGCGTCCTTGCCTAGGAAAACCGCTGGGGGACAACTGGCCGCCCTGATTTTGCCGACCGAAGCCGAAACGGTGTGTCTTTGCGGGAAACGCGCATGCACTGCGCTCCGGACTGGGGTTGCGACCAAATTTGTTTTTGTCGGGTCCCTACCCGCGGCGCTTCTTTCAGCGAGTGGGGCGCTGAGAGGGTGCATCGAAATGTCGGGAGTGCGCGCGTAGGGATGATAGGGAGAAGCCCGAACACGCCAAGGAGGATCGATAAACAGGGGCGAGGTGAAGTAGAGAAGGAGGAGAAGGAAGAAGAGGAGGATTCGCTCGATGATAGATTTTCGGAAATTCGATTTTTGGGCCGCCATGGATAGAAGTAGAACGCATGGCATTATCTGAATTATCTCGAACCGCCAATAGAAGCACACCTTAAAACATGGGGTGCAACGCATTGCGGCTGCACTGCGCACCATACATGTCGGGAGCGGCCTTAGCGAATTTCGCGCATCCAACGCGAGAAAACCTGCATGCGCAGTGCACGCTCGCATGACCACACCCAACCGGCACCGCCGCGCGCCCGCGTGCGCGACGCGCCCTTCGGCTCGAGCCGCACGGAAACACCGATCAAAAAATGCACGGGAGAAAATCCATTTTTTTTGCTCGCGCGAAGCATGTGCAGACGGCGCCATGTTTCGGGTCGCAGGGGCCACGCATTGCTTTCAAAGGGGCCCGTGGGGGCCCTGGGGCGGCCCGCGGAGTCAACCAGAGTAGAGCACATTAAGCGGCTGTTTCAGATGCTCCATTCTGGCTCGCTCTCGGTTCCCCCCGGGGCCCTTCTGGAGCCAACTCAGGCCCCCCGAAAGCTTCGAGGGCGCCGCACAGGATGTCAAGACGGCCACATGGCCAACCAGAGTAGAGCATTCGAATTGTCTCTGAAGCTGGCTCGATGACGGGGCCCACTGGAGCCCTCGCAGGTTCCTGTCGCGGCCATCTAGAAGTCCCTCGGAGGCCCGGAGGCTTCAAGAGGCACTAAGACGCCCCCTGGAGCCGACCATAGTGGGGAACTTGAAAACGGCCGTTTCAGATGCTCCATTGCGGGTCGCTCTCGGGGCCGTCTTCGGGTCCTCTTGGGGCTTCTTTGCCCGGGGAGTCTTGAGTGGGCCGTGAGACGGCCCCAACCAGACAAATTACGGTCTTTCAAGGTGCTCTCTTTTCCGGCTCGCTCTCGGCGTCCTGCGGGGCCCCTGCCGGGGCCCTGTTTGAGCAAATTTGGAAGCCCGGGGGGGCGCCAAGGGAGCTTGGGAAAGGGCTCCAGAACGGCCCAGCACGTAAGCAAGACTGGAGTATCTGAAAAAGTCGCGTCAGATGCCCCAGTCTCACCCATGCCCAAAGCGCGCATTTCCGCGCGGATCCGCCGCGTGAAAACATTACTTGAGAGCAGTGTCATGGCGACTGCGCCTCGGCAGACAAGCTCCTGGGAATGCGGCCCGCAGGAGTGAGACCTCAGCGCGTGATTGCTTCGAGATAGTGCAAGCCAGACGGCTCAAACAATGCCGCATTTGATGTTGTTTCTCTGAAGCGCGAGGGCAATGCGCCAGATATTCGTCGACGCCAGACATTCGTTTTATTTTTTCGCCGGGGCATGCCGGCGACGCGCCTGCAGTTGATTCGCGACGGGCAACCGAAAACATCACCGGCAACATTTGTAACCGAAGTGCCCGCAGTGAGGCGACCCGCCCTTGCGTCGAACGGCCGATTGCCAGGGCGGCGCGCAACTATGTACATCCTAGATCACGCAGGGAGGCGCAGCATATTCATTGGCAAGTCGAAGTCCCTCGCCTGCGGTCGACCGCTGAAATCGCATTCCCTTCTGCGTCGAAGAGGTTGCGTTAGGCTGTTATTCACGGAAGTCGCATGACATGTTTATGGGCTGGACTAGCTGGAAAATAACGACCAAAATCACGAGGTGGACAATCGGCCACGGCCATGGAACAACTTCGCCCCTAGAGCAGCTCAAGTTCGGTAGGGGTGTTCGATTCCCCGCCGAAACGCCTGCCATCGCGCCGCGCCGCCTTGGCCACGTCGGCGAGGCGGGGGGGTGCAAGCCGTCTGGGTGGATGGTCAAAAAATCAATAGTTTGCGCGCCCCCCTCCGCCCGTGCTAGGACAAATCCTAACATTCGCGGCCGAGATGCACTGGGGGTCCAGACGCAGTGAGCGGACGGCCGCGGGGGGGCGACATTTGCTCCAACGTGGAATTTTCGGGCTCACCCGCCTCCCTGGGCCCCGAGGGCGCCCCCCGGATGATCCCGGGGCGCTCCCGGCACATTCCCGGGACACTCCCGGGACACTTCCCGGGACACTCCGGGGACGCTCCCGGGACACTCCCGGGACATTCCCGGGACACTCCCGGGACAACCCCAGTTTTTTGGATTCCGCCCCGAACGTGCCCGCGGGGGCCTCTCGGTTGTTTTCGGGCGTCAAACGGAGAGCTGAAGGGCCATCAGAGATCTTCGGGGCTTCTCGGAGGCAATCAGAGCTCCCCAGGGCCTCTTAGAACACTGTCCCGCGGCTCGGCGCCGTATTCCGCTGTGGAGAGGTCTTGCCTCGAGAGTGTTGGGTCGGTTGGATTAGCCTAGCCTTGGGGGGGCC